CAAAATAATGGAACTTATGACTAAAAATAGGCTACAGCACTACCTAGACCAAAACAACATCATAAACCCCGACCAAAGCGGCTTCACTCCTGGCCGATCAACTCTCGATAACCTCGCCCGACTAGAACAGGATATAAAAACAGGACAGCTAAACAAGCAATACACCATAGGCATATTCCTCGACTTCTCTAAAGCTTTCGATATGGTATGGCACCACGGGCTAATACAAAAACTAAAAAAAATAGGACTAAAAGGCCAAATAATAAACTTCATCCAAGATTTCCTTAACAATCGCAAAATTACCGTGGGTATAGACCATACGCTATCGGACCAGTGTCCCCTAGAAAATGGCACTCCCCAGGGCAGCATTCTCAGCCCAACCCTCTTCAATATAATGATAAATGATCTATTCGAGGGCTTATCCCCTAAACTAAACACTTCAAAATTCGCGGATGATGGAGCCCTATGGATCCGCACTAAAAGCATTAAAATGGCAGAAAACTTAATCCAAAAATCTCTAAATAAAATACAACAATGGGCAGACAAATGGGGCTTCTCCCTTAACTCAGATAAAACAACAGGAGTAGTATTCAAACATAAAAACATGAAACCTGCCTACCCAATCCTCCAGCTAAACAACCAAACAATCAAATTCCAAAAACAAACCAAATTCTTAGGACTTATTTTCGATCAACACCTCACCTGGGAGGCTCACGTCCAAAACCTAAAAACTAGATGCAGCAAAGACCTTAACACACTAAGATGTCTCACCGGCTCTAACTGGGGAGCCTCCAAAGATACCCTCCTCTCACTCTATACAGCACTAATAAGATCAAAACTAGACTACGGCTGCGCCATATACAACACCCTAAACCACTCTCTATCTAAAAAACTTGACTCAATCCAATACCAAGCCCTTAAACTAATTACACGCACCCAACATGGCACCTCCTACACCTCACTTCAGGCCCTTACAGGAGAAATGCCACTAAATCTACGCAGGGAACATCTAAGCCTTAATTTCTGGGCCGCGTCCCAAACAAACCCTCTCATCCAAAACCTAATTAACCAAAACATTAGCCCAAGAAACCAAGCTCTAGCTCGCAAACACCCCTTACTCACCCCAATATCCCAAAGAATAACTAACTACCTCAATGAACACCAAACTCAAAATCTTAAACAAAACTGCAAAAAATCAAATATCTTCACCCCTAAACTCAAAAAACCCCAAATAGACACAACACTAACTAACCAAATAAATAAACAAACCGACCCAAACATAGCTAAAACAACCACACTTTCATACATACACGAAAATTGGCCAAATTGGTGTCACATATACACTGACGGATCTTCAGACCCGATCTCCAAACACACAGGTTTCGGAGTCCATACCACACAACCAGTTATATCCACACAATCTTACCGACTCCCAAACAACCAATCTATATTCACGGCCGAACTTATGGGCATGGCCTCAGCCCTGCATAACCAACAATCAAAAAACCACAAAAAAATCCTAATTCTCACTGACTCGCTTAGTGGACTACAAGCCCTCCAAAACAAAAATACAAAAAAACGACCTAAATTAATAAACCAAATACTTAAAAGCTCCAACGACCTAACAAAAGCAGGCAAACAAATAACCTTCTTGTGGATCCCCGCCCACGTAGGAATTTACGGCAACGAAAGCGCCGATAAAGCAGCTAAATTATCTCTCAAAATCCCAGAAATAAGCCTAAACCTACCCATCTCAAAATCAGAAATTAAAAGTGTAAACAAACAAAAAATAACCAAAAAATGGCATAATCAATATCAAAACTCAAATAGCCAAATCAAAAAAGTGCTCAGAAAACCACTAGCCAAACCTAAAATCCTTCACCCCTCTAAAAAAATTGACAGATTAATTACAAAACTCCAAACAGGACACACGAACCTAAATAACCACCTAAAACAACTTAAAAGACACACCACAGGCAACTGCCCCCACTGCAAACAACCCGAAACCACAGAACACGCACTCATCCACTGCACCCACTACCAAACACACAGAACCACACTACAAACCAACCTCAATCTAAATAAGGTTCCTACTCTAGATGAAATACTAAACCCTCAAAATAAACTAGAAAACTTCAAGGCCCTAGGCGTATTCCTAATCAAAACAGGCCTAATTAAGCGCATCTAAAAACTAATTAATCTACCAACCCAAAATCCAATAAACATACAAATACCCACCTCACCCAGCTCCCTTAGTTCCCTCCTCCATCCACCTCGGCATTTATTCCAAATTTTAAAATTTCAAAAATCGATATAAGCAACCCCTAAAAGCCCCCCTCTTGTGTTGCACACACCACTTTCACCCTTCTCGGAATACACTAAATGGTCTGGCCAGGCCCGTGTGCGAAATACGCTGCAGTCGGAAAGCGCACGTTAAATCTTCTATATCAGTCAGTCAGACTAACATGACATCAACATGTCTGGGCTTCGCTATGTTTGTTATGTCACAGAGAGGAAAGCCCCAAGTCCTATTTGATGGTTATCTTCACACTAAGAACGTCGAGAGACTGACTTGCGTACACTATTATTTTGTTATAATGTATTATGAATTTTGAAAAATGAACATTTTATTATAATGTATTATGAATTTTGAAAAATGAACATTTTATTATAATGTATTATGAATTTTGAAAAATGAACATTTTATTATAATGTATTATGAAATTTGAATAATATCGTAATCGTAATTTAATATTTATCTCAATCTATTCGTGTTTCTTGGGTTGTTCCATTGTATGAAATAGGTAATAGACTAGGGATTAGCAGTGCCATGAACCGTCAACTTTGTTGTCTTAAGCTGTAGGGGAAATGGGATGTAGGGGTTTTGGGAGGTTACCGTTGATGACGTTGGAGCTCTTTGTCTTCTAATCAACCCTTGACCACGTCCAATGCTTTAGGGTGGGTACCTTTTTCGTGGTCTGCTACTCATACCCAACTGCGAGGTGGGGAATTATAGTTTTCCATGAGAGTAGTGCGATAATCTTATAGCGCTAAATGTTTGTCACTATTCTTTCTCCACATTCTCGTAACTGTTTGTACAGATCTTTCCACTTCTCCATTTGATTGTGGAAATTAAGGTGAGTAGGTCATATGCTGAAAACCTTAGTCTTCACAGAATAACGTGAACTCACGTGAGGCGTACTGTGGTCCATTATCTGTTTTGAGAATGTCTTGTATGCCATGTCGACTTATTTGTGACTTAAGTGCATCAGCTGTTGTTGAACTACTCAAACCCATGTTACGATCAACCTCTATGACGTTGGCGTAGTAGGCATCGCACCTTGCATGCTTAGCCAGGCAGTCTGTATGTGATTTATCAAATCCACATTTTTCTGAGACGCTTTTGTCTTTTAATCGAGGCTTTATCTTCTACGTGTGTTTTGTCTTGGGTATTTTTGGTTTCCCCTTGACTGCGTGAGTTTATCACATACACTTTCGGGTCTTCATCATCATCTATCAATTTGAGTCTCTTGGGGGTCATGATTTTGTCTGATGGCAACTGCAATGTCTAATGTCGTCCATCGTCTCTTTCTGGACACTTTTCGTGGCATGAAGAAAACGGAGCACAATAGCAGCTCGCAACATACGGTCTGCATCTGCAAGACCAGAGTCTTGTACCAATATTTTAAATTTTTTGACAATTGCCAAAGTTACATTCATGAATTTTTTCAGTTACACATATTTGGTATCTTTTAGGGGCTATGCACTGGGAATATTTTGTGTATACACACCCTGTTGAAGTGTTTCATTTTCCCCTGGATTTACTTCTGTTGCTGGAATCCATGTAAAAGTTCCATATATTTCCCGACCTTTGTCACCCATGAAAGTCATTAAATGGTTCACGTGCTCTAATTATGACTTAGCAGCTAGTGGACCTTTAAATGTAAAGTCACAGTGTTGTTTGAAACGTGTCCAAATCGGAGGCTTACCAGTTAATACCCGGTTTGTAGCTGGACTGCATCTTAGCATCCACGCTAGCACTTGAATAGCAATGAAAAATTAAGATTTTCACTTTTATAATCCATTCACTTGCCCGACCACGAGAACAAACATACCTAAATTATAAACAGACCTTATATCTTATTATTGTTCACACTACACTGCAGAATAAACTTGAATCGGTTTTTTTTTATCATTCGTACTGGAACATTCATTCATGGATTAAACGATTTTTAAACAGCATGCCATCACACTATACATAATTGACGAGGTTCTCATTCAACTAGACACTATATAATTCATACGTTGTGTTCGTAGTCAAGGGAAAAACACTCTCACTCTCCATATAAATTAACAAGAAAACATCACGGACATTGCGATAGCATGCACCTATGCTGCTTGTGTTTCAACCGGAACTAAAGAGGTATGATGTTTCACGTAGCATGTTGTATGAAATGATTTTTAAGCTATCATTTATCATCGACTCATTATAGGGCATGTCATAATTGGTAAATACAATGTTTCAGCGGTGTTTGTTGGGATTTGTTGTTCGTGTTTTGAAAATAAAAGTGGAAAACACTCGGTTTTGTGGTCAGAAATGACACAGTAGACCCATACTGGCGAATCGTTTTCTTCAACATTCCGCCATTTGGCCGCCATTGTATCTGTCGTTGGCCCTAAGACAGGTCCGATCGTGTCTTCATTTTTGTAGACAGCTTCGAGAATGGACACCTTTACGTCAATTTTAGCGCTAAGACAGCTTCCTGAATAGGTTTGTTTGTTTCTTTGTTGATTAACGCCGCACTCATGTGAGTACGCCGCCAGGACCTCCTGTGTAATACACATTTTATGAAGCTCGTGAATAACTCTGATATCGCGATAGTGAGCGATGGTCCTTGTTTTTGCATATGTATGTCGTCAAGAGTAATCATTCGTTTTGTTATACCTAAATTCACTTTAACGTTTATGAAGTATTTAAACCGTCCTCTGTTTCGTTACAGAAAGCAGCGAACCGTAAAATGTACGTACCAGACGCCGTCTTGTTTTCTTGCACCGAGTCAGTATTCGTCACGTGAGGTCAATACTGATCCTGTGACGAGTCAATATTCGAGGTCAGTGTCAGTTAACCAAAGGAATTGCAAGAATTTAATAGAGGTATAGCAAATAGAAATTAATATCGAAGTGTCAAAGTTTGTTTCGGACATTACGGGATGTCATAGCGATATAGCCACGCAAAATCGAGTTAATTGGGTATATCGTTTCGCTGTGACAATTCAGTGCAAAAGGCAAGGGTCTGTGGTAAACGCTTGACTAGTTTCGTTGTCCGTGTTTACACTTAGACTGAACTATTGTAGTATGACGGTAAGATAAGCTCAGGCAAATATCGAACTGATTGACACAGGGTAGTTATTGCTGTGAGGACATTACGGGGAAACGAGTGTGTGAGGTCCACAAATAAACTCAGTGACACCAATTATATTTATCTCCTCCACCTCTCTCGCTTCCCACACACACTCTCTCTATCCTTCCTTTTCCATTCCTTTCTCTCTCTCACGAACGCATCTCTCTCCCTCTCTCTGTCTCTCTCTCCCTCTCCCCCTCTCTGTCTGTCTGTCTCTCTGTCTGTCTCTCCCTCTCTCTCTTTCCCTCTCTCTCGGAAACAGCCCCAGTTGTACGATATGCCGCCATTTGTCGTTCACGTAGTGTCCACGTGCGTGCATATGATCATAGTTCGACCTGACTAGGTTTCTCGGTTTGTCAGCACCATATCCTTGCTCGTGGATTTCACCATTGTGGTGAACGTCTACGACATGCATCACTTCCCACTCGTCTCCCACACCCAGCTGACACGCCTTGATTTAACTCAAATAACCTCATCTGTATCCTGTCAATAACAGAACCGACAGACTGGCGGAAGACGTCAATTAATACCTACATTTGGACGAAAATGAAATATATGTAATCAAGGTTCCTGAGATGATTTAATATTCTTTGATAAAATAAATGTAAGTTGTTAATATTGAAAACATTTTGTCATAAAAAAACAAATGTAAAAAAAGTATATTATTCATAACACTTTGATGTTTATGTCAAGATACTAATAATGGCATTGGTAAAGGAATGAATGTGTGATTTATGCTTATAATGTCACTCCAGTATGTCAATGTTTTGGTTATGTAGTGAAGCGGGATATTCATAATATTTGTAGTATGTCTTCCAACCCCGAGCGACAGTGTCGCATAGGAAAGCCAGAAACTTATGATCGTGGGTTCGAATCCCGATTATGTTTGTAGGATTATCAGCACCATACCCGTGGGTTTCACAATTTGGTAAATGTCTGATACCTGCATCACTTCGGGCTTTCCTCCGACATTAAACTGTCATGCCGTGATATAACTGGAATACCGTTCAATGCGACGTTAAACCCAACTCACTTACTCATTTTATTAGCCGACGGGTGCCCGGTTACTGAGTCTGATGGTCTCTATACATACATGTTTGTTGTAGGTACATCAAGAGAACGGTGACCATGGTTTCCCTGACAATGCTGTTCTCAGCCATCTTAGTTGTCATGGCAACTTTATCTGATACGACTGGCGGAGGTAAGCGTGGTTAGAGAAGAATACAAATTAGATAATAAGATAGTAAATGTACTCAAAGGAAACAGTAACTGTACCTGACTACAGGTTTTATCATGTGGCGATAAAGGGGGCAGAGTTGCGTCCCTTAGGCAACACGCGTGCAAGAACAAATGAAAACTTCCGAAACTCGCCTTGTTCGTGGTTTTCACCAAAGTGGTGAACATCTAGACCTGAATCTCTGTTGGTTTTCCTTTTAACACAATGTGATATAACTGAAGTACTGTTCTAAGCGGCGTTATGCCAAACCCACGCACCCATATTGCGGTATATGCCTCTGTATGTCTTTGGGATGAGGGGCACGGGTGGCCCAGACGTCTAAGGCGCCGCTATTCGCTGTAGAGAGTTGCGTCCCTTGGGCACGCCAGAAACCTATGATTGTGGGTTCGAATCCCTGTTCGCCCCGATTATGTTTCTAGGTTTGTCAGCACCATACCCGTGCTCGTGGGTTTCACCGAAGTGGTAAACGTCTAAGACCTGCATTACTTGGGGCTTTCCTTCCACATTAAGCTGACACGCCGTGATATGACTGTTAAAAGCGGCTTTAAACATAACTCACCCACTCACTCTTTGGGCTGAATATGGACTCCATAGGCTTTAAAAAATTGAGAGAAAAAATAATCAAAATTATCAAATATATCTTGTATTCATGGGAACATTAATAGTCCATATGAAACAAATATTATTAATAATTTAACATGAAGTCCTAATGACCCCAATTACCTTTTCGTTTGATCATGGAACACTTAATACATCGTAGATTAAACAGGGGCGGTCAGGTAGCCTAGTGGTTAAAGCGTTCGCTCGTCACGCAGAAGACCCGGGTTCGATTCCCGACATGGGTACAATGTGTGAAGCCCATTTCTGGTGTCCCCAGCCGTGATATTGGTGGAATATTGCTAAAAGCGGCGTAAAACAATACCCACTCACTTAATTGTCCCGGTTATTATATTTACATCACATTATTTATACCCTGGACCCGTATCTGCCACAGCTTTGTTTGAGACTCGAATGACACGACGCTAAAAGTAGCCATCCATTCAAATACTGTCATGAGCGAGAGAGATTCTGTGCGATAAGAGTGGTGTGACAGAGATATAATTTCCCAGATGAAGCTGTGTGATCGATGTGATCGGTCGTTATCTTGATGGAATGGAAATGTTGGATCGTGTCGGTTTTATGGTGCATGAGGTCAGTGAGTGAGTATGGTGTTATGCCGATTTAAGCAATATACCAGCAATATCACGGGTGGGGACACAAGAAATGGACTTCACACATTTTACCCATGTGGGGAATCGAACCCGGGTCTTCGGTGTGACGAGCAAACGCTTTAACCACTTGGTAACCCCACATCAGCCATTACTTCGCCCCCATTTTATAGATGCAGTGAGAAAATTTATTTATTTATATATAGAGGGGGGAGGGGGGCCTGTAGTGTTCCACATGAACGTATTGTGTTACCTTCTTTCTTCAACAGACCCCACACAACCGGAGAACATGACCTGCGTCCTGTATGCCGGGAGGCTTCTCATCTGTAACTACGACCTCCGTGACGGCATTGACAGCAGCAACGCGACATGCACCACGTGTTCACAGTTCAGGTGATTAAGAGTCAGAAGTGTTAATGTCGTATTTATTGTTACATTGAGAATACTACACCCATTGTCTGACGACTGTGTGATGTTATATTTATTATCCACATTAAAAACGCATTTAAGTGTAAATAAATACTATGTTCCGTTCTTTTCACAGACCAAACCAAAACCGGTAAAACATCCGGTTGCTCATGAATATTTGCCCAAACATGAGAATTGTTGACATTTCTTTGCAAACGTATTAAGAAAGTGTTGCTGCTATTGTGTGTAAACATGACAGCAGAAACGCTATTCTTTAATCACTTTTTTTCAACTAACTGTCATTCAATCGCACAGTAGTTAGGACCAGAACCAATGCAAGAGCACCAAACAGTCAGAGTTGCCCTGTGAATCTCGGACCTACAGTCGGTCACTCGCACAGCCGATGGAATCGCTGTGCCATGAACATTGTCCACTTGCATTTATCTATCAGCCATCTTCCCGAGGCAAGAGAGTTATTTGACTTTAACAGTCCATTTACCACCCTTGCCGAACGAGTTGGCGGTGCACATGTTTTGCAAATCCTTGAATATACCGAAATCTGCACGACAGTTTACGAACCGGATTTCGATTTCGGTGCGCGATTTTGATTGGACTGTGTATAGACTCGTTAGTCCAGCCAAAATGCCTAGTTCGGCAAGGGTGCAAACTGGACTTTTATAGTCAGTTAACTCTCTTGCCTCGGGAAGATGTCTATCAGCTGACATTATGTATAGGTTAGACCACGAGGACCCAGTGTCTCATCGTTGAAATGGTTAATTAAACCACGAAGCGCGCAGCCATTTCAACGATGAGACACTGGGTCCTCGTGGTCTAACATGCTTGAGCCATGTCCAACATTTATGGCACCTAAAATGATTATAAAACATTGTTTTGTTAAAGGGATTTTGAAAGATATTCAGGAACCCTATGCTCAAATGTGAGAACACTGTGTGAGTCGGTCCTGCATGAAGCACGTGAAATGTGTTCCAAGAGCCTTTCGCACGTGGACCTTGCACTTTGCCGATTTGGGTTATGAAATGCATGTCCCTGGGCAAGTATACCATTCATTTTGGACCAACTCGAGTACATTTATCAATCAACTAAATGTTACTTGCCAATGTTGATGGGCCTAATTTCGTTTCTATCTGTTCGTTTCGTTGAACGAAAAGCTACAAAATCACAAGTACTGTACAAATACTAGATTGTATAGAGTAATATACTGTATAAAAATTTCGCAGTTCATAAAGGGAAAAACAATTGGTACTGATGTAAGTAAATATTTAGTTGTTAATTTCATACCCTTTCTCGTCGACGTGACAGAAGACTGCATTCTTTAGCCTTCAGTGCGGACTTCGCGGGTTCGAATCCCGCTGGCGACAAACGTTTTTCATGAAATTGTTCTATCATCAAGACAAATGATAGGGGAAAAAAAAGAAGTTCCGTCATTGCCAAGGTGCAATTCAGTTAGTTAGTTCAAGCTCAAAGACAAAGGAGCCATGGTTTAAATCCTATTTAATCACGGAATCAGTGTGGTCGCCAAAGAAGTCCATGTTAACTGTACGGCCCTATATTGGAGAAATCAAACTGTGATCTACACAACGCGTTATATGCGCGACATCAGTCCGCAATGTTATTGGTCACACTTAAGCCATTGGCCCTACTACGATGCCTGGAGTGTGTATGTACATGGAGCGTGGTAGACAGACAAACCGACCGACAATTTACAGGTGTCTAGCCACACACAGTGTCATTTAGAAAGTAGTAAAATGTAACAAATGCTATACCTGGGATAACACTTTCATAGTAAAGTACTGATTCTAGAACCTTTTTTTTTGTTTTCGGGTCGAACCCACACTGCCAGAATGAGGCACCTAATCGCCAGCGCACAATGTCAGAGAACTAACCCACTCAGCCACCGAGGCTTGTAGTCCACACAACGTTCTTTGTGTACCCCTCTGACAAGTGTAAATTGGCACGGCACCCGCTGTCGAAAGCTATGAACACACAATGCCATTTAGAATGTAGTCAAATGTAACAAAATAATGTTATATTTTCGATTCCAAGATGGGAATCAACCCCCAAAAGTACGAGAATCTGTACTTTACTCAGAAAGTGTTATCACAAATATAACGTTTGTTACATGTCTTTTCCCAGTTTGTCGCCAACGGAAGGCCACCGATCCGACACATCGGTTACTATTCGTAGGGTAATCAGACACTGACCCAATACTGGTCGGATTTGTCGCCAAAATCGACAGTCGAGTATAAAAGCGGACTTGCACCTCCTGACAGTACTAGACATGGGTCAACTTCTTCGCAACGCTGCAGCCCTGGGCTGTGTTTTTATGCTCCAGCAACAAACTACGCAACAAGATGCAGGGAGAGCAGTGGCTGAGCAGTGATTGGGGCCTGAATGGTCTATCCTCCGTCTCTGTATCTTCAGGAGGAGGCACAGAGGAGTCTTCTGGCACTTGAGATTGTTGAGGAGTGCTGGGAGGTCTCTTCTTTGCCTTCTGTCCTCCAAGATTTCTGTTCTTTCTTGGAGCCATCTTCAGGATCTTGGTGCTGTAGTGTCCGATGAAAATCTGCGAAGTGAGTGTCGGCTGACCCTCCTTTCGTAATCAGTTGTCCGTCAGATGTCACCGCTTGCTATGTGATATGTGTCGGATGGCAGTTGAGTTAATGAGCGATTACCCTCGGATGTCTCAACGGATGGCAATCGGACGGTGCTAAATATCATGTTAACCTCCGATGAGAATCGAATTGGTGATGGGCGGCTATCAGGCGCGTCGGGCAGACCGCAGACTGCAATCAGATGAGCGTCAGATGACTGTTAATTATCGGACACCCATCAGATTACCGTCAGACATCGGCTAGACACGTCCGATAGTTGCACAACACGAGTCTGTAACACATCGGACTGACTCGACATTCATCCGACACCGACTCGATTTGCGACCGGAAATGGCGTCCGATGGCGAACTAAGCTCTGAGCTTAGTTCCTTCATCGGACGATTTCGCCTCATCGGATCACGCCCGACTCGTCGAACACTCACCTGATGGTCGACAAACACAAATCGGATTCATCGGAGGGTTACCTCTTCGGTGGGTTACCGGAAGTAAAAAACTTTGCTTCCGATGAGTGACTGATGAGCAAAATTCTCTGTGGAATGGGGGTATAAAGCATTCGCTCGTCACGCCGAAGACACGGGTTCAATTTTCGACATGGGTACCATGTGTGAAGTCCATTTCTGGTGTCTCGCGTCGTGATATTGCTGGAATATTGCTAAAAGCGGCGTAAAACCATACTCACTCACAACTCACTCCGTTCATACGAAAACTATATGTATAGTTGATGTACTCTGATCAAATTTGTTCTTCACAGTACACATGACACATGTCCGGATGCCATTACTGGGAAGAGATGCAACACCGCTGTTGGGAGATGTGAATACAACTGTGATGACCTAAAGTTTTGTGACAACTTTCATAAGATGAAGATCACCATGAAAGAGGGAAAGGATGCTGGGTCAAAGTCAATGTGCAGACAAATCAAAACTACAGACTATTGTGAGTATCAGATGCTCATTTATCAGGCAACAGAAGCAATTTTCATACAGAAATACGTACGAGAGTGGACGAGAAAGAACTGATATGGGGTGTGAGATAAGATGCTCTGTGAAATCAGATGTCTGACATTAGATGTTGTGTGACATCAGATGCTGTGTGACATCAGATGTTGTCTGACATTAGATGCTGTGTGCCTTCATATATTGTGTGACAGATGTTGTGTGACATTGGATGTGTGACATTAGATGCTGTCTGACATCAAATTAAATTTTCTGTGGATTTATCTTTGAATAATTGTGGTAAGAGCTTACTAGATTTATGCAGTATACTAAATATACATATTATGAATGGAAGGTGCAGGTCAGACGCCGGGGTGGGGAATTTTACTTTTATAGGAATACAGGGTGCGAGTGTGGTCGATTATGTTATTGCCTCGTCCGAGTTGTTTGATATGTGCCATAGCTTTGACATACCGTCTCGAGCCGAGTCACCACACCTTCCTGTCATGACTAGTTTACGTACGCTTCTAGTAAGTGACCCTATGCCACGCAATACACCTAACAATGCTTCCTTCAAATGTGATAGCAGGTTTTTTTAAACATTCCTCAGATATTTTAATACCATATTTGGAACTTATTTTTAATATCCTTTTAGAGAGATCATATTTTCCAGAGAATTGGACAGTTGGCATTATTGTCACTCTTCGCAACCAGCGATGTTAATAATTATAGTGGCATAACTCTCCTAAGTACATTCAGTAAAATATTTACTTCAATTATAAATAAGGGACTTGTTTTCTGGGCGGATTCCCATGATAAAATAAGTGAGTCACAAGCAGGTTTTAGGAAGGGATACTCCACCACTGACAATGCTTTTATTCTATAATACAGAGATATCTATCAGTGAAACGAGGGAAGTTATATGCTGTATTCGTAGATTTTGCAAAAGCTTTTGACTCTGTGAAAAGGGATAACTTGTGGTCACTCTTTCAAAGACATGGGCTATAAGTAGCAAAATTGGAAAGTGATTGTGCTCTCTATATAAAAATGTGAAGGTGTGTGTCCGGAAAAATGGCGCTATATCGGATAATTTTGTAAGTAGCATGGGTGTCCAAAAGGATGTAAATTAAGTTCCTTCTTATTTTCCTTTTTCATAAATAATTAGCATATCAAATCCAAAATAATTGCACTGATGGAATACAACTACACCCCGAAACTATTATATTATTTCTGCTTCTTTTCGCTGACGATATAGTCATGTTCTCGAGCACAATACATGGCTTGCAAAAGCAAATACATTTATTAGAGTTATTGTGACGGGTCAAAACTAACTGTAAATATGGATAAAACCAAAGTTGTAGTTTTTGAAAATGGTGGTAACATATCCAGAAAAGAAAAATGGCTTTACAGAGGGAAGCATGCAGAAGTTGTTACATTTTATAAATACTTAGGCGAGTGTTTTATAAGTAGATTAACTTGGTCAAGGAATGCACATAACATTTCATTGCAAGCCCAGAAAATGTGTGTGGGCATATTAAAAATTCTTAGAGTTCTGGACAATATTACATATGAAGTTTATTTTAAAATATTTGATACAAAAATAAGCCCGATTCTATTGTATGGATCAGAAATGTGGGGCCTAGAACATTTGGATGTTATTGAGAAAATACATTTATATGCATGTAAAAAGTTCTAGGGTGTAAAATCTAGCACAGAAAACGCAAAGGTATATGGTGAATGCGGACGGTTTCCCATGTATATAGTTATTTAAAGGTTATTAAATAATGGGTCAAGCTATTAAATATGCCATCTTCAAGATACCCCAGAAAATGTTATAATACGATGCTTCTCTACGACAGCCATGGGAAACAAAATTGGGCAACAAAAGTTAAAAACATGTTATACGAATGTGGATATGGTTATATTTGGTTACAGCAACATGTAGATATGCCATAGCATTTCTTCTCCCGTTTGACACAGACCTTAAAAGATATGTACACCCAAAAATGGCATGGTTCTTTGTCCAGTTCTAGAAAAGCAAATTACTACACTACATTTAAGACTACTATTATACTAGAACCTTATCTACTGAGTGTAAATTTACATAAGTTTAGAACAGCTCTTTCTCGATTTCGTTGTGGCTCACATGATCTATTTATTGACAGACAGATATGAAGGTATTGCAAGACAACATAGACTTTGTAGGATTTATACAACTGATTGTATTGAAGATGAATATCACTTTGTATGTGTATGTCCAGTGTATAAAGATTTAAGAGCAAAATATCTAAGTAACTATTTCTAGCGCAACCCAAACGGTAACAAATTTTGTAAATTAATGACTTGTGGTTGTACAGAAAATATCAGAAATTTATCAATGTTCATTTATCATACTATGAAACTAAGACAATGTTTGAATTTGTAACACGCCCCAGACAATGTACTTTAGGCCTTTGTCCTCATAAGTACCATGAATAAAGATTGATTGACATCAAATGTGGTGTGACATTAGATGTGTAACATTAGATGCTGTGTGATATCAAATGTGGCGTGACATTAGATGCTGGGTGACAGCAAATGTGGTGTGACAATAGATGTGTGACATTTTATGTGTGACCCCAGATTTTGTGTGACACCAGGTGTCACAATCTGTGTCATTGTCTAAACTATGTTCAAATTATCAGGACTCTTTCTCCTATTTGCTGTGTGTTTGTAGTACAGCCTGGTCCAGTCACAGCCCTGCGGGTGACGGCCATCAACAGCACCGCGTTACGGGTGTCGTGGAAGAAACCTGACGACAGATTACGTTCTTTAGGACGGCGGTATACATATTCAGTGACTTACCTGACGAAACATGTGAGTATATACTTATTCATATTTCATTTGAGTGAGTGAGTGAGTTGGGTTTAACGCCGCTTTTAACAGTATTCCAGTTATATCACGGCGTGTCAGCTTAATGTGGGAGGAAAGCCCGAAGTGATGCAGGTCTCAGACGTTTACCACTTCGGTGAAACCCACGAGCACGGGTATGGTGCTGACAAACCTAGAAACATAATCGGGGCGAACCGGGATTCGAACCCACAATCATAGGTTTCTGGCGTGCCCAAGGGACGCGACTCTGCACAGCGAATCGCGGCGCCTTAGACGACTGGGCCACCCGTGCCCCCTATTTCATTTGATAAAAGAGATTTTTTTCATGTATTTTTAGTCTACATGCCCGTGATCAGAGCTGATGCATATACTCTTTACATACGGGAATGGCATGAATTCCCCCTACATGCAGTTCCGACATTAATACATTTTGCATACAAGTATAACATGAATTCCTATTACATAAAGGTATAACATAAATTCCTTTGCACATTTAGGTATAACATAAAATACAAACATGAATGCCCTTTACATAAAGTTATGACATGAATTCTCTTTACATACAGGTTTGACACGAATTCCCTTTACATACAGGCGGACACGAATTCCCTTTACATACAGGCAGACACGAATTCCCTTTACATACAGGCAGACACGAATTCTCTTTACATACAGGTATGATATGAATTCCCTTTACATACAGGCAGACACGAATTCCCTTTACACACAGGCAGACACGAATTCCCTTTACATACAGGTATGACATGAATTCCCTTTACACACAGGCAGACACGAATTCCCTTTACATACAGGTATGACATGAATTCCCTTTACATACAGGCAGACACGAATTCCCTTTACATACAGGTATGACATGAATTCCCTTTACAAACAGGCAGACACGAATTCTCTTTACACACAGGCAGACACGAATTCTCTTTACATACAGGAAGACACGAATTCTCTTTACATACAGGCAGACACGAATTCTCTTTACATACAGGTATGACATGAATTCCCTTTACAAACAGGCAGACATGAATCCCCTTTACATACAGGCAGACACGAATTCTCTTTACATACAGGTATGACATGAATTCTCTTTACATACAGGTATGACATGAATTCCCTTTACAAACAGGCAGACATGAATCCCCTTTACATACAGGCAGACACGAATTCTCTTTACATACAGGAAGACACGAATTCTCTTTACATACAGGTATGACATGAATTCCCTTTACAAACAGGCAGACATGAATCCCCTTTACATACAGGCAGACACGAATTCTCTTTACATACAGGTATGACATGAATTCCCTTTACACACAGGAATGACCCAAATACCCTTCACATAAAGGTATGGTACGAATACCCTCTACATCCAAGTATGACAGTCGCGATATTACTGCAATATTGCCGATGTGATGTAAAATCCTAACTCTCTCACTCACCCAAGTATGACATGAATGAATTTAGACACAGGTCAAGAAAATTAAGACCAAGGATGAAGATGTTGATTCGGTTCTAACTGACCTGCAGCCCTGGACAAACTACACCGTGACAGTCAGGTCACGACCTCACAGAAAGGGCTTCCGCGGCCCTCCACAGAATGCAACAAATGCAACACTCGAAGACGGTCAGTATTTCTATTTATCATTTAACTAAAGCATTTATCCATGACATAAGCTTATGACATAAAAACATGTATGTCATACCCCAATGACATAAGTATGCAAATTAGATATGCAAATTAGATAACCGGAAGTGGGACTTTTTTCGCCGGTGCACGTGAGTAGGTGTTTACAAACAACATGGATACATTTGATGTTGGAGACATTATTTCAATTATTCTGCAAAAGTCTGTTCAAGTATTGTGTTTAAAATAATCCGAGGAACTTTTTTTCTCAGCGAAGGAATATGCCATAAAGGAGTTAGGAGGTTGTTTATTTTGGTTTACACGGCTATGGAAAACATGTATCACTACGCACGATCTATACGTAAGATTTCGACAAGTTGCTGATGTTAATGTTTAATGCAATTATTCCTTAATTGGGAAGCAAAAATGTGAAAATGATAAATAGAATTCATCACTCGTGTTTTTTAATATGGGAAATATCAACATCGTCCCGTTAATCGGTATTTGCCTCGCCAAAGGCTCGGCAAATACCGATTAACTAAGACTCGGTTGATATTTCCCATATTAAAAAACACTCGTGATGAATCCTCTATATATAACCCATAGTGGAACAAATAAATACCGGTGAAATTATTTGTAGTAACTCTCCTAGAGGATTATAAGTTTTTTTCACATGCTGACGTCATCCATCGTTCATGACGAAATCATGTCTGTTGTTACAATAGACAGACTGAGCCGATGTCACCATTTGTGATCAGGAAACTCGGTCGAATAGAATGGTGGGTGTCGTGTACGTCTATATAACAGACGGCCTTTGTAATTGTCAACTGAAGTGAAATGACTGAAATTAATCTCTAGTTTGGTTCCAGTCGTGCTAATGCTGGAATGATAGAACGATGGCCTATGAGATAATCGAGTCGAACCGTGAAGATCTGGGGTAGAACAGGTATTCGGAAACCCATGCTTGCCGGAAACTAGGCGACTAACGGGATCGGGTGGTTAGGCTTGCTGACTTGGTTGATGCATGTCATCGTATCCCAATTGCGTGGGTGCTCATGATGTCAAGCACTGGATTGTCTGGTCCAGACTCGATTATTTACAGACTGCCGTCATATAGCTGGAATATTGTTAGTGCGGCGTTAACCAACAAACAAACAAAAGATAATCGAGTCGAAGCCCGACAAGCCAGTGGTTGATATCATGAGCAAACCCATGGGGGAAAAAACAATCTTCTAAGTCGCTGAACCTGCACGTTGGCCTGATCCCTTTAAGACACGCATAGGTTATTTTTGAGCAGTTCTACTCCCGAATCGTTACAAACAAATATAAAGCTTGTCAATACACCTTCATTAATTATGCCTTAATATGTTGCATGCCTAATCTTGAAACGTATTACGGTGAACAGAGACGATCATATATGTTTTATAGTCCCGGCGTCAGGCCCAGTGATACCAGAGAGTGCATATAGCAGAGTGGCGCCGGGAGTGCTGGAGGTCTACTGGAGTGTAAGTAATTTAATTCTTTGGAGACGGGGAGGAGGTTACATCTAACTGTGAAATAAAAACAAAACGTACCGGAGGATTTGCCAACATTTGTAATGGAAGAATCACATTTCCAGTTCCGGTTGTACTTTATCGTCATGACTATCATTCCAAACTGATTACATATTTCATCTACTATGCAAACAGGTTAACGATACAGTTTCGTTACGTATTACTCCGGAACAATAGTTAGACCATGGTAACATTTCACCCTACTGCTCTAATTAACATCTTGGTATCAGGCAAAATGTTTTTCTTCAGGTTTGTGGTCCAATTTGCGACCATCTTGGATTTCAAAATGGCCGCCCTTTTCAGCTGTATTCAAATTGCATCATTAAGCGTCTCCTATTTCACTTAGAGCAAATTTCAGCCCCAATTACATTTGAATTATGCATAGGAATGATGTATACTGCTGTGCGACCAAATAGTACTGTTTTATGCAAATGTGTGCGTGGCGGGTGCTACAGGTAGGGCAGGACATGCTGACCCTTTTCGCGTACACCTGGGCCCATGCCACTTGCACAAAGCGATCTTAGCGCTAAGATGATCGTAACTCCCATACTTTAACATAGGCTTCCAATAGTCTTAGCGCTAAGATCGCTTTGTGCAAGTGGACCCTGGTGTCATCACTGATTTTTAGTGATCGATTCACTTAATTTGCACCGCTGTTTGCCTTTTACGCCAATGGAATCGGTTTCGGCGGATGTCTCAGACCTGCATCTCTTCGGGCTTTCCCCCCACATTAAGCTGACACCCCGTGATTTATCTGGAATACTGTTAAAGGCAACGTTAACCTCAACTTACTGTTTCGGCGGAAAGTCGAGGCTTGTTGTTCTCTGGTGTTGACTATATTTGCTATTGTTAATTAATTCGGTCAACCGTGCCTATCGTGCGATTTGTGTTAAGACGCGTTGAATGTTCTGCATGCTTCATATATGTGTACCATAGATGATTGTGTCCACAGTCAGTTCCACGGGATGCTAGCAGAGGGGTGATTGTCAACTACTCCGTCCAGGCCAGCTGTTGTCTGTCACATCCACTTTACACCACTGACCACTCGACCACCGTCAACATCACCGGACATAGCAACCTGACCGTACTTGTGAATGCCGCCACTCGAAATGGCTGGTCTGCTCATCCGTCTCAACTCCATGTATACAGACGTGATTTGGGTGAGAAATATTATGACATTTTTTTAAGTAGATTGAAGGGGCATTGACGTCCCACTCGTCTGATGCGCTTCAATTCTCTGTGCAGAGTTGCCTACCTTGCCCTTGACAGGATCCACTGATCGTAGGTTAGGCCTGATTATGGTATATGTTATAACAGGCTTGTCTGGTCCGGACTCCATTATATACAGGCTGTCGTCATACAGCTGTATTAGTGCTCAGTTAAGCGTCAAACAAAAATTACGCTTGAATCAAGAAAGAAGGGTTACATTGACAACGTCCATTGATCCAGGTTATTTTTTTTTAAATACACAATGGTCATGACTCAATCTCGGCGATTCCGGTAAGATTCGATTAATGCAGCGAAAAACAAAAAACCAACCCCTACACGAACATTAAAAATAATATTTAACACACAGAAATAATAATGCAAATGGTGTACATATATTTTTATTTGACTTAATTCCAGACGTCCAGTACATTGACAGGGTAGACAGGGCTGAAGGCCTGCTGGAGTGGGTCTACCGCAAAGACGGGGGCAAACAGCCGGACTTTTTCACTGTGTTTCGGTGTTTCGGGAGCCAAAATGACACGCTGCCACAGCTTGTGAAATGCAGGGTAAGAAATAGACAAGCGTCATTCTAAATGGTCTTCTCGACCACTTTGCCTAACACCTTCTGGTTTCGTGTGTTTCTCATTTCTCGCCATTAATTATCGTCCAGAAAAATAAACCATTTTTGTATCCGCCCATTCGTCCCTCAGAATGCATAAAATCTCTTTGTGGACAAAAATGAGTCGTCTACGTGGTACAGTTGTCTACGGCGCCGCATTTCGTTGTGGAGAGTTGCGTCACCAGATTGTTGGTTCGAATCCAGATTCGCCCTGATTGTGTTTGTTGGTTTGTCAACAACATATCCGTTCTCGTGGGTTTCCCCAAAGTAGTAAACGTTTAAGACCAACATCACGTCGGGCTTTCCTCCACGTTACACTGACGCACCGTGATATAAGTGAAATAATGCACAAAGCATCGTAAAAACAAACTACCTCACTCACTCAATCATTCACTTGACAATTAGGTGAGGTGAAATGGAGTTCAACGTCTTGTTGCAGTTATCTGGCGACGTGCACGCACGTGTGTGTGTGTGTGTGTGTGTGTGTGTGTGTGTGTGTGTGTATCTGCTTGTACTTGTCAGGACTAATGCCTATTTTATAGTTCTAGCCTACTGAAATACCATGCCGCAGTTTAACATGAATACCCAACTTAGACACAGTATACTGACTCCGTGCCGACCAGTCCTTGTTTTTGCCCGTTAATGTTGAGTGCCAGTCAGGGTAAAAATCGAACCCCCGACCTTCCGCTCTCCGGGCGGACGCCCACCACTAGACCACGGAGGCGGTTTGACAATTCGGAGATTGCGTAGTCACAGTAACGTTATTCTGTCGATGGCTATATGTCTTTAAAAGCATGTAGGAACTAGTTGACGATAAAAGAAACTATATAACTTGAACAATATGAACTCTACAGATGAACTTTATGTCTTTACTTATGAACTGTATGACGTCACCTATGAACCTACTGAGGGGCGGTCGGGTAGACTAGTGGTTAAAGCGTTCGCTAGTCACGCTGAAGACCCGGGTTCGATTCCCGACATGGGTGAAGCCCATTTCTGGTGTCCCCCGCCGTGATATTGCTGGGATATTGCTAAAAGCGGCGTAAAACCATACTCACTCACTCACTATGAACCTTCTGACTTCACCTTTGAACCTTTTGTCTTCACGAATGAACTTCAAGACTTTACATAATAACTATATTACTTTACAAATAGTTAAATCCATAAATATGCACAAAACCATCTGTCACGACAGATGAATACCTATTTTACTCAGTACTCTTACTAATACTAATATGTTAATCCGGTTTCACTAGGAACAGTACAGTTTGAATTCACACTGGGATCTTCGCAAGTCACTGATGTGTGTTTTATGTTTTCAACCTTTATATTGCTCAGTCTGAGGTGAACACGACACGGGTCCCTGGTCACGACAGAGCCTTACCTCTAGAAGACCACGAGCCACCTACATTAGCTTGCCTAGGATGTGAATGGCAGTACGCCGTCTCTGTCCACGTTGACAACGACAGCTCCCCAATGATGTGGAATACTCCACTACAAAGTAAGGCACTACAAAGTACATGTAAGGCACCTGAACGAAACATTGAGGAATAATCCAGCATCCTCGATTATACAGTGTATTATATCCCAATCCATTTCTAAATTATCCAGGGGCGGTCGGGTAGCCTAGTGGTTAAAGCGTTCGCTCGTCACGCCAAAGACCCTGGTTCGATTCCCGACATGGGTACAATGTGTGAGGCCCATTTCTGGTTCCCCCCACCGTGATATTGCTGGAATAGTGCTAAACGCGGCGTAAAACCATACTCACTCACTTATTCACTCACTCTAAATTATCCTGCTTTTATTCACAAGCATTCGTTTTGAGCCGATTCGAATGACACTGTGCTAAAAATAGACGTTCAATCAAATCACGCCCATGAACGCATAGAATTCTTTGAGATGGAGGAGCGATTGAGGTGATGACGTTACTTCCAGTACGAAGCCTGGATGGGACTGGGTCCAGGGTAATTAACGAAATAGAATGGAGATAATATATCCTGGATAATCGAGGATGGAGACGTAGTTTCTGTAAACAGGTTGAAAACGGCTGCAATATAGTGAAGACAAATCCGCTGGGGTCAATATCTAATCCCAGTATTTCTGTTAAAAATACTTTAACAAAATAAGTGATTCTAGAAGATAGTGGCTACAAATTGACATTGTCTTCATTGTCACACCTTGCACAAGTAAATATGTATTGAAGCCCAGAATCCCTTAAGCTTACCAGGAATTACGTGTATGTGCATATGAGTTAACTGTTTTAATAATACTATTTATTGCTGAACGTTTTTAAGTTTAATGTGTTTATATTTATCTATATATGAATTAAATGTATGAAAACATAACTTATTTTACATTTGAATGTTTTTTAAGTTTAATGTGTTTATATTTATCTATATATGAATTAAATGTATGAAAACATAACATATTTTACATTTATGTACAGATTTCGAAAATCGTCCATCCGTCTCTTCCATGAGGAATGATTGGCCTGTAATTACCGTCCTCATCATATGCATTGTGGTGGTTGCAGCTGTTTGTGCTGCCGTGACAGTTATGTACGTATGTTCAAGTAGTATGAATGTTTTGAAACCTTAAAATGAATTTTAAATTATGATCGTATGGATTATATGGCTTTGCGTATTGCTTACAAATCTAGATACACAACAGCCTATGACAACAGGGAACCTAGACGTGTATATTCGTATTTAAGTCAGAATAAATTAGTTCCATTTCAATACCATGAATCTCTAAAGAGGAGGCACATATTACCAAACTTGTGTAAAGAGCATACTGATTACTAGACATTTTAACTGATAACCATTCCTGGGAAAATGACCGTAAGAACGTGTTCCTATGAAGTTATATTACTCCCAATCAGCTTTTATACGTGCAGGATATGGTCCTAAAAGTCACGATTAGTTTGAACATGGGGCTCTTTCGAGGCCGTCAGTTCAAGAACGAGCCCCACTTGAAAAACCAATCATGACTTTCAGGCCATATCCAACTCAAATCAATATCCTGCCTTAATACACGATATTGGAGGGCGTTCTCGTCACCGAAAACCGATAGCAACTCTATGCGTGACCGCGCCAGAGTCCGTGCAAAATTATTTGAAGTCTTATCGTATCGTACAGAGCTTTTTTGGACATCAATTTTGGGAAGTGGTCGGCATGGCAGAGTACGATTAAGACTATGATTTATATTGGCGGAGATATTTTCAAAAACACATAAAATATAAATTAAAGTAGAATTTCTATGGGTTTTTCAGAATCATGCATGATAATGACTTGTACAAACACTTTGTCAAGATTACCCATGATAACCCTGAAATTGCACGTGTAACCGGTAATTGCATGCATAAAATCCCATGAGTAAAAAATCATCACACATTCACAATGCACCAAGTCAATTCAAACAGAGAGTAAATCGTTGAAGTGTTTTACTGTGAAATGAAACTTTGTTGACGGCCAAACCTCGTAAAGGTTATGCCACGACTATCTAAAGAGAAACGTCTGCATGCAATTGAAATGCCTAAAGCTTGAATTGCACAGGTGTTTTAGGGTTCAACACCATACAGTCACTCTTGGGTCGGTACCAAGTGAATGGCAACACCAGGACGGACGACGTTCTGGACGTTCATGAGTAACGTCACGTCGACAAGATAATCATATCCGTCTGGTTCACCTGCGAAGTCTGTTTCAGACTGCATCTTCCTGCAGCATCCTTGCCCTACATCCGATTAGAGCAAGGACTGCGAGGAACTGATTACGAGAGCATTCCATTCGACCACGATGTCTAGCTGTTCGTCCAGTTTTTCTGCCACGCCTGGCATGGTCAAGACAACATATGAGGTTCAGGTTAGGAAGCTGGGGGTTAGTCCTTGTCACACATGAGTTCAGGTTTCATCTTGACAACACTGATTGCCGTCAGCGTGTTTATCGACGTTGGAAGGAACGTTACGCTGCTCCGTATGTCCAACGTTCTCCATTGGTGGTATGAGCGTAATGTTGTGGGGAGGTATGAAAAGAGCCCCCCCCCCCCCCCCCCCCCCAGTGATCATTGATGACAGGTGTACGGTACCGTGACGAAGTTATCCGTCCACCCGTACCTTCAGACCAATGGACGTCACATCACGTCACAGCAGGACGATGTACGCCCTGACGTCGCACGTGTGGTCATAGACTTTATGGCACGAGATCCCCACACTCCCTTAGGCTGCCGTTTCGCCAGATCTGTCTTCCATCGAACATGGGTAAGATGAAATGAAAGGTCGTTTACGCCGACTTCCAACAGATGACGTTGAACCAGGTGCGACAGGCCTTTGTCCAGATCTGGAATGGCATACAAAAAGCCTTCATCAAAAGCCTTTGTGTCGTCAGTAAGGCGCCGTTGTCACGTTACCATCACTGCCAATGGTGATCAAACCCGAAACTTACTTGTGACTCGACAAATGACCCTACGCCACTTCCAGCCTGAGATGACACAATCTCATTAAAATCAGATCTTAGTTCTCGCTACCGCTAAACAAAGATCTGAGGACATCCCATTAGGGGTCACGTCGGAACGACCTTTCATCCGACCAATCAGAGCGTCGCTTACCAGATCATGAAAGTGACAGTCTGAATGTGATTTCTAATCATGCAACCTCGAAAACTTTAAAAATGGGTATTCCTAACGATAGTTACGGGCTTAACGACTGAATCTATACAATCTAGACCATATATTAGCCATTCGAGAATGTTCTTTTGTTCAGGTTTCAAATTTTTAAACGAGAATTTGTCAAAATATGTTTCGAAGCGTAGTCGCCAATTTGAAATTAGTGCCGTAAAGCACGAGAAAGCTGCCTTCTGATTGGCTGATGTCGACTTCTTGTCAGTAATTCCATTGGTCGGTCAGAGTTCGCGAAAGGTCGGTCCTCAGATCTTTGTTTAGCGGCAGCGAGATCTAGGATCTGATTATAATAAGATTTGAGATGACGTGAACAGAGGGTATGTGTTGACTCTGTCATGATGAATTCATGTTTCATGGACATCAACACATATTGTTATGGTGCAAGATGTCCTTTGTTTGCGTATATTTATCATTTCCCATGACTGTCAGTGATGCACTGGATCTTTTTTCAGCTGGTATATGTTTTCGTTTACCGGCGCGTGAACGGATGAGTTTCTGGGAACTATTCCAAGAGATCATAAACATGTATGAGTGAGTGAGTCTGGCTTTACGCCGCTTTTAGCAGTATTCAAGCAATATCACGGCGGGGAACACCAGAAATGGGCTTCACACATTGTACTCATGTCGGTAATCGAAACCGGGTCTTCGGCGTGACGGGCGAACGCTTTAACCACCGACCGCCCCTAAACATGTATGAGTGACATTCAAAACTATTGGAGGACCATCAAACTATTGGAGGACCATCAAACTATTTGAGGGTGAACATAAGTCGGAAACTATTGGAGGGCTTCTGTATTATAAACAGACTGTTGGATGATTCCATGGTAAATGCAAATGACTCTGTTGCAATTTTGTGTGTGTTTTTGTTTGTTGTTTAACGCCGCAATATTCCAGCTATATGACGACGGTCTGTAAATAATCCAGTCCTGACCAGACAATCTATTGATTGGCATCTTGAGCATCGATCCACGCAATTGGGATACGATGACATGCACCAACCAAGTCAACGAGCCTGACCACCCGATCCCGTTAGTCACCTCTTACGACAAGCATAGTAGCTTTTTACGGCAAGCATGGGTTGCTGAAGACCTATTCTATCCCGGATCTTCACGGGTCCTCAGTTGCAATTAACATTGACTATGTTTCAAGTATTGTTGCTACAAAACAATTGACAAAATATACAGTTGGCGGATAAGGATTCACCCGGAACAATATGCTTCATCTCTTAAACGATGTTTACGTTGAAGGAGTTCCGGTTAACCGCGTCAACTGTATGTAAGCGACCGCTTGTCAATATTGCGATTTGTCATGGGAAAGTTCGCATTTTACTCTATCACAAACACATGTATGTAAAAGGAAGATAGACAGAGAATTGTCCCGTCGAACACGTCGCATTCATTTCAACTGGTGTAAACGTTAGTCCGGATCGCTCTTGGGTGTCTCCCTTTGCTGATTGTAGCAATTGTATCGACTGACTGACTGAATGTCGGTAATCATGTAATTATGACAAATCTCTGTTCACCTGTACTTGTTCTAATGTTACAGTGTTGTCAAGAGGGATGTTCTGTGTGAACGATTCAAGATCACACTGCCACAGCTGATGCCGTCTATCAGCGATAAAGACGTGAGTATGCTAAGACCCTTCCCACAAAATCGACCACGGTGTCGGTCTGTGCAGGTTTTAGGGACTGACCATTTCATGTGATAAAATGGAAATACTGTAAATGAGGGCTTGAGGTTTTAGACACACACAAAAGTGTTCGATTAACATGAAGGATGGAGGATCTTGTAAGACACTTTTCCGCTTCTCCTGACAGAGCAAACAATAATTATATATCTTGTGGTGAAATACGGTTTAAGATCGCCATTAACGTACATCCCAGCATGGATATTGTGAACGGATGCGAGGTGATGTAGTTTTCCAGAGTGTCGTAGTTGACGATACCATGGTTGGACAAGAACCAGTATGAATCTATAGCCCAATACAAATCCTAAATTGAGTAGAAATGTAAAAGTATCACATAGTTAGATGGAGCTATAAGTCTGTGGCGAGTGTGTCTGAGGGCAGGACGTTTGTGTTTTAGTTAACTCTGTAGCGTTGAAGACAACAATGCCATCATTGATGCATGCAAGGTGAGTCAGCTTCAGGGGAGGTCGTTGATTTACTAATACACATATGCTAAATACGTTACATTGTGTTCATCTTAGGAGCCATATACGAAGATAGATAAGGATGATACCAGCGGCAAGGACCAAGGACTTAAGGAGACTTTACAAATTGTGTTTACCACCAACGATGAACTGGAAGCGAATGAATCTGGGGTGACTGGGGGAGTTCAAGAAGAAGACGGGCAGACTGAACCTCTCCTTGAGGACCAGCTGCTCCCACCAGTACTCTTGATGCAGGATGAACTAGGTGATGAGAGCAGCGAGGCATGGTTCTGCTTGACAGACAGTGTTGTGCCAAACTACAAGCAGGTTACTAAAGCCAGTGGCACATCTCAAATACAGGGTGGTTACCTATGTACTCGAACTGGGGTTGCAACTGGACAAAAGACATCGTCGTCCTCCGTATCCCATGATTGTTCAGACAAGGTCAGACAGATCTCCGGGCATCTCCAGGGAGATCATATCCTTCCATGTGGACATGTTGATTCCCCAGATGAGGAAGATGGTTGGTCCTGCTCCTCAGACAGCGGTGTGTCAATATACAGACAGGTGCCAATAGACAGTGACGTATCTCAATCACAAGAGGATTGTCCACCGGATGAATCTTCAACCATTGCTTCTGCAGAAGAACCTAAGAATACACATGACAGAACTCATTCCATCATATCAGACATGACAAGGGAAACTTCATTCGTATCTTAACGGGGGCACGGGTGGCCCAGTCGTCTAAAGCGCCGCGATTCGCTGTGCAGAGTTGCGTCCTTTGGACACGCCAGAAACCTATGATTGTGGGTTCGAATCCCGGTTCGCCCCGATTATGTTTCTAGGTTTGTCAGCACCATACCCGTGCTCGTGGGTTTCACCGAAGTGGTAAACGTCTGAGACCTGCATCACTTGGGGCTTTCCTCCCACATTAAGCTGACACGCCGCGATGTAACTGGAATACTGTTAAAAGCGGCGTTAAACCCAACTCACTCACTCACTCACTCGTATCTTAACAATTACCCCCACCGTCATCATACCCATCACCTTCAGACTCATCAGGTATACCATCAGCAACAGCAGCTTCTGCAGCATGTGAAACATCGCCATAATAAAAAACGGCAGCAAACAGTGTCAATTGTGTTTTCCTTGGAGTGAGTGAGTGAGTGAGTATGGTGTTACGCCGCTTTTAGCAATATTCCAGCAATATCACGGTGGGTGGACACTGACGGGCTTGTTCCTATGTCGGGAATCGACCCCGGGTTTTCGGCGTGATGAGCGAACGCTTTAACCACGAGGCTACCCGACCGCCCCTGTTTTCCTTGGAACACCTGCTGGCTGCATTTAGCTGCATCACACACTTTTGAGTCCATAGTCATAACGTTGTGCTTCTCTAACTCATTATATCGTTTATCTCAACCATGTAATGCGCGCGCGCGCGCGCGCGCGTGTGTGTGTGCGTGTGCGTGCGCGTGCGCGTGTGTCATCAGAGGTAACTAAATGGATCGGGTGGTCAGGCCCACTGACTTGTTTGATTGCGTGTCATCGTTCCTTGATGGCATGGATCGTTTGTGTGACTCAAATCATTTAGAGGCCAAACTGTCTGCTTTCTGTCCACCTGGTACATTTGGAAATAAGTGTATGTAAAATTATTTGCAGTGGGCTTCGCGTTTCTGTGACTATTAAGATGTCCTTTCGCAGTCCAAGATTTACTAACCTTTCCCTGTTTAGAATGTTAGGCCCCAATATGTTACATTGACGCGAATGTGACGTCACAAATACATTGTTGTCATGGTAACAGATCTGGATTTGTGTGACGTTTTTAAACGATTTTACCGCTGCTTCATTTCTTTTCTGCTCATTGACCGGTGTCATTCCCGTCAGGTGGCAAGTGAAATGCACATTATTCTGAAATGTTTATCTGGGCTGAATAAGTAACTAAGCATAAATAAACACTGAACAGAGACTGCTACTACTACTACTACTACTACTACTACTACTTATAATAGCCTGATGATGTACGCCTCTCCGTGTGAACCCATCCAAGAATATCGGGGAAGCACCAACACAAATCCATACTTCTTGAGTGTGTGAAAGCAACAGAATGGCCAGATATACCTCGACTAAATTGGAAATTACTGAAGCAGCATTGGGACAAAGCCATGCCAATGTATTCGTACCTGACAGAGCAAAATATGCGTGACCAGCTCCGGCGACTAAAGATGTATATGCGCCGTGCACCTGGTGAGCTAACTGCCAAACTCTCGCCAGGCGCCTTTGCATGACCCCTCAGTTCCCAACAGTACCAGAACCGAAATCGCAGGTTACCTGATGCAGTTGTCACTGATGACCAACACATGGGTTTATCCCTTATGTTGGCCTCGAAGATTTGTAGTTTTCTCCCGATTCCGACCCCTCTTCTGCCAATGATCTCTCTGATGATCCCTTTTTTATTTTTGGTATGTCATTCAATAATCGAATCCGTGATTTGCCGACTGAGAAACGGAGGCCAATTGAACAATTAAACCATTTGTTCCCCACAGAATCAACTTGATAAATTAAATAACATTATTTCAGTTTCTCTTAATGCGGACTGTTCTTTGCATGACATTAACTGTTGCATGTGTGCTGCTGCTCGAACACTGGAGGAATTCCATACAGTTTCCAAAGACAATGAACCACAAAAGGGTAACAAACAAAATCATCAAAAGAAAACCCGGTTCCAAATAAATCTTAATGAAACAAGGACAGATATATCCTGGATAAAACTTTGCTTGAAATTACGTGACACAGGGCAATCAATGTGAAAAAAAATAAATAGGGAAAAAAATAAAAACAAAATATAAGACACCAAAAGAGAAAATTTTAAATCAAATTCTTAATTCTCCGAAGGCAAAGTGAAAGTTTGGAACAGAAGGAAAATGAAAGTGGGACAAGAAAAAAAGTTAATAAAACAAAATAAACTGAACAAATCTAATGACGGCGGTCTGTAAACATACGAATCTGAACCAGACAATCCAGTGATTGATACGATGAGCATCGGTCCACGCAATTAGGGTACGATGACATGCATCAACCAAATCAGCGAATCTGACCACCCGATCCCGTTAGTGCATGGTGCAGAGATAATATGACCTCATAGACAGGGTGGGATATATCTGTTCGATCATCGCCACATGCAGTGTATCGAAATCCCATCTCGTGGGAAGCAATAATTAATGTTGTCAGGGAAACACTTATTGTTTCCTCCCGAATTGTACTTCAAGTCGGGGTACCTTCTGCTGATAGAGCGTGTACAATGTACGCTTAATCCTCTTTTGTTTTAGTTATCATACCGTAGACTTGTTGGTATGAAAGCCCCAGAGCTTGGGCAGTTCAGTGATATACTCAAATGTCGTGTGCCATGGCTATGGCTGTGCAAATGTTATGCAACATGCATCATGGGAGCAGTTTTGACAAAACAAATGCAGCATCATTTTGTTATTTTGACTTGTTTTTTGTCGATTAAATGTTAGGTGAATACCACTACATAATTATGAAAACGGAGTCACATGCAAATAGTTCTATAGTCCGTTTTAGGACTCTTTGTGACTGAAATACTTCAAACCACAGGTAGGTAGGTCGGTAGTTACTCGATATTTTAATAACAACAGCCTGTGAATTAATGCATCCTTTTTTAACGGGCAAAAAGCATTTTATAGCATTTCCGACAGTGCTTTAGTACAAGCAGCCACACACACACGTTTGTTTATTTGTTTGTTGTTTAACGCCGCACTCAGCAATATTCGAGCTATATGACGGCGGTCTGTAAGTAATAATTGAATCTTAACCAGACAATCCAGTGATTGACAACATGAGCATCGATCCACGCAGTTGGGTTCAATGACATGCATCAACCAAGTCAGCGAGCCTTAACACCCGATCCCGTTAGTCGCCTCTTACGACAAGCATAGTCGCCTTTTACACACACAGGTGCCTGCACGTCGCTATATTAGTCCAATAAACTTGAACGCGACGTTAATCCCCATTTCACCTCACACCTCACGTCTGGTTTTATACATATATTTAAACGAGTGAAAAGGAAGCAAAAGTGGCTGTCCTGGTTATAAAACTGCGTGTTATTATTCTACACACAGTGTGCACACAATGGCTTATCACGATAATAGAACGGCAATGTAGATTTGAAAGCAATAATTGTCACTTCGTCTCTGATTTTGTATTGCAGACTTGTAAAGTGATGTGACCAGTCCTTGTTTTTGCCCTTTAATGCCGACGCCAGACAGGGTAACAACAAGTACCATCTTTTTACGTCTTTTGGTATGACGCGGTCGGGGATCGGACCCCGGACCTTCCGCTCTCCAGGCGGACGCTCTACCACTAGACCACGGAGGCGGTCCTGACCATGAGGACCGAAGTGATATTATTAATAGAATCCGTCATTCTGTCCTACGTCTTTGAACCTGTCGGACATTTAGCGAAGTGATATTGTTTCAGGACAATGGTCCAGGGCAAGTGGTATGTATTGCGATATATACTTGTAATCTAGGCTGGACTGGTCAAACCAGTGATCGAAAGAATGAGCAGCACTCATGAGCAAGAGGATGTCAGGAATGAGATTTTGATCATTCCATTGAGCCGAGTCCGAAACAAGCAAGGGACAACGACGGATGACTCGACACGATTAGAGATCATTAGTCCCAGGGTCCTGCCCCATTTTCGCGAAACGAACTGAAGTTATTACCCAAGTCTTAAACTTAGATTGAACTCATTGAGTTTCTATGACCAAGTCCCGTTTCTCCAAGCAAACTCAGTCAGAAGTATTTTTGATCGATCGCAGTTCATTTTGTGTGCGCTATCTAATCGGCCTTGGCGCGGACATCAACTTCTGTTTCTCATGAAAAATTGAACTTAGTTCGTTTCGAGAAAAGCATTTTGCTGAGTTTTCTCAAATTTGAGCAAAAATTCAGACTAATGTTTGTTTCGAGAATCAGTGCTAGATAATCTGAGCACAATGTTTGTTTGTTTGTTGTTTAACGCCGCACACAGCAATATTCAAGCTATATGATGACGGTCTGTAAATAATGGAGTCTGGACCAGACAATCCAGTGATTGACATGATGAGCATCGATCCACGCAATTAGGATCGATGACATGCATCAACCAAGTCACCGAGGAGCCTGACCACCCGATCCCGTTAGTCGCCTCTTACGACAAGCATAGTCGCCTTTTACAGCAAGCATCGGTTGCTGAAGACCGATTCTACCCCGGATCTTCACGGGTCTCTAAGCACAATGAAGGTGTTTGAGAGGAATACTCTCAAGTCCATGATGACATTTATTAACATAGTGCTTATGTACATACAAAACGTTGTCATCTTGGTTATTACTTTGAGATAATTGTATCTACTATGTACAAACGACGAGGAAGATATTTATCTTGGATAATGACACATCCATTGTCAGAGACAGCCACTGCTATGATGACATGGTTCGGTGCCAGTATGCGAGCATGAAGCCATTTTCGTTATTCTGGTTTGGCCAATCCTTTCCTTACAACCATTATTGTGTTTTAAGAACGTGTTTAAAGTGCTGCGAAACATTCAAACCTATTAAAGAGAGTGAGTGAGTGAGTGTGCGTTGGGTTAAAGCCGCTTTGAACATTATTTCGGTTATATCACGACGTTATTAACAGTGACGTTAGGAATCATACTCCGTCTAGTATATATTTACCATTACTGTCCCACGACGTGAAGGTAATGATGGGAATCATACAACGGACCACAGGGTCCCAATGGTATCAACACTCATTAATATGCATATACGGCTATTCTACCGGGATGAATATGAAAACGATAAGCTCAAGTAAGTGTCCATTTTGTTAATAACTCGTGTGGGTTTCGTGGAATTGCAAATCCAACCAATAGTTCGTCATAAAGTTGCAAATTGTGTTGTCATTTTCTGGCTCAGCAAATACACATTAGACCAGAATAAATTATTAGAATTGTATAAATATTAATTTTTAAAATAAAATACAACTGTCGATGGATGTGATTGACGTTGGATTGTCCGAAGGATTGGTGTTTCAAGCGGGGGAAAAACAAACTTTAGGGACATTAAAATGAGGTGTAAAGTAGAAAGCGAGGTTGTAAATTTGATAATTGCTATGTTATGGACTAGAATACAGAACGCGAACCATCTTGAAACAATAGGCATTATGACCCTGGCAGAGCGAATACTTCATATTCAAATGTCTACTTGCTACTGACCCTACAAGATAAGATCGTTGAGTAAGCATGTCTCTTTTGCAGTTTATATTTGTTAATGTCAGTCGGCAGATAATGTGTCTTTGCTTGAGAATGATACTGCCATTTCGTCAGAGTGGCCTCCCCGGCACTTGGTCCAGGCAAACAGTGCCCCGAATCCGATTAGGAGCCCGACAACCAGCATGGCGAAGCCCAGACCTCCCATTGCACCTGTATGAGAATAAAGGGAACACGGTATACAGACAGATGAGTAAGTGAGTGAGTGAGTTTGCATTAATGCCATTTTGAACAGTTTATCAACGTGCAGTCAGGAGTGAGTGAGAATGTGGGAATTAACGCCACCATGCACAATATACATACATCCTATCACATACAATATGTTTATATAATTTGTGTGTGTGTGTGTGTGTGTGTGTGTGTGTGTGTGTGTGTGTGTGTGTGTGTGTGTGTGTGTGTGTGTGTGTGTGGTTGTACTAGACCGGACTAATGCCGATTTGATAGCGCTAGCCCACTGAAATACCATGCCATAGTTTAACATGAATACCCCACTCAGACACAGTATACAGACTTTGTGCCGATCAGTCCTTGTTTTAGCCCCTTAATTCGGCGGCGAGTGTCAGACAGGGTAACAAGTATCATTTTGTTTACGTTTTTTGGTATAACGCGTCCGGGGATCGAACCCCGGACCTTCCGCTCTTCGGGAGGACGCCGTATCACCAGACAACGGGGGTGGTCCTTTGGGCGTAACTGAAATATGTATGTTTGGCGCTTACCTGAAGTATATTTGGCACTTGTGTCTTGATGAGGTATGTACCTCTGCCCATTGGGGTAATATTGACCTGTGAACAGTATCAAGTCTTTGTGTTAACATGGACGAAACACAATATTCAACTGAAATATGGCAAAAAATGATTCAATTAAGCCTATAGTCCTCGCCATTCAAGCGATATTATCATGACATCGTTACAATCACATCGTTACAACCTTGATTAGGGTTAGCCATCAGGTGACTGAGAAAGGCTACTAGGCAGAGGGATAGCGAACGTTTTTCGCAGCCCGAACTAAAAGCAAAAGAGAAGTGTGCCCGTAGTATTTCAAACACTGTTGGGGCGGTCGGGTAGCCTTGTGGTTAAAGCGTTCGCTCGTCACGCAGAAGACCCGGGTTCGATTCCCGACATGGGTACAATTTGTGAAGCCCATTTGTGGTGTCCCCCGCCGTGATATTGCTGGAATATTGCTAAAAGCGGCGTAAAATCAAACTCACTCACTCACTCAAACACTGTTGACCTACTTCGAGCTGGCCACATGCTAAATATTAATCGCTCGCATTCATCTGACTGCCCAGCCTTACCCGGATTCTAACCACGTGATCAACACTCAGTGATGATGTTTATTTCATCCACTTCCAAGAGATTTGTTTTGTTTGTTTGTTTGTTGTTTTACAACGCACTCAGCAATAATTAGCTATATGGCGGCGCTCTGTAAATAATCGAGTCTGGACCACACAATCCAGTGATTGATATCATGGACATCGATCCACGCATATTGGGATACGATGACATGCATCAACCAAGTCAACGAACCTGACCGCCCAATCCCGTTAATCGCCTCTTACGTCAGGCATAGTCGCTTTTTACAGCAAGCATGGATTGCTGAAGACCTATTCTACCCCGGATCTTCACGGGTATGTCAAAAAGAAGTATCCAGGGTCAGCCCTGGGTGGTTGATGTACATACGGTTATATATAGAGCAGTAGGCAGTTGACTCGATGGTGATCTGTCCCACGTCCGACATGGACGCCGTCGAGAGTCGACACTCCGTCGTGTTGCCGCAGTAGTCAAAGCTGGCACAGGAGAACGTCTCCTCGTCCACGCACAGTTTGGCGCACTGCTCCACACTGATCATTAAGATGATACGGTTGTCTTGAAGCGAGATCTGGCGGTTAGCGGTCTGCTTGAAGTCGTCAGCGTAGTTCCCTGGGAATAAAATATGTCCACATGCAGCATCTTCCCGAGGCAAGAGAGTTAACTGACTTCAAAAGTGGACTTTTAAAGTCAGTTAACTCCCTTGCCTCGGGGATATGACATGCAGAGGCAGGTCCATACTTGGGGTTGACCACAATTGTCAAGTCACGAAGTGAAATAAAAATTACACATTCGTCACCACTCGCCTTTGCGTTACCTGCAAGAAGACTCGTCCCCCTATCGATGAATGTTATGTGCGAAAATACGACAAACCAATCAGAATGCGCGTATGATTTCAAGTTCTTCGTCAAAGAATCCCTCAGAAATAATTTTTGATTTTACATATGTCTTGCATACCCAAGACACAGTTAAATGTGTTCAATCATACTTTATAATTCCGCACGTCCCGATGTGCTTTAAATTGCATCTGAAATATATATAATATATGGGGAAATATATGTGAACCATTACGCAACGAGTTGACAATTGTTTTAGGTATGCCCGTTTGCGCTAAGACGGAACTCGGTCGCAAAAATGGCCATGAGAGGCGCACGAGTCGCTATTCGGCTTGTCCCGGATTAACACGAGTTGGTCACGAATAATACAGTGTCTGAAAAATGGTTCGGGTCACTCCTGCACCCTCTCCTTGGGTCCATCAGTGACATGCTTATATATACTTTGGTATTACTTAAATCCTGAGATCAAATGTATAGTAAGTAGCGGACGAGAACATGTAATATCGGGTCGAGTTCGATCCATCTTCCCGAGGCAAGAGTGCCCACTAGCCTATATTAAATCTTGTTTTTCACCATTGTCCTTTCAAGCCGACGTTTCTGTGCTGAAACAGACACGATCGGGAGAGGACTATCGCACATATCGAGGGTCCAATCACAGAAAGTTTTGAAACGTTTCGAAATCAAGGCCGCTGAGGAACGGGTTTTTGATATTCGAGTGGGGATGGACATGCTTGATTTTCTAGAAAAGAGTGTCGGTGCCTTGTATAAATTGTGAAGTACAAGTATTCAGCATGTGAGTGAGTGAGTTAGGTTTAACGCCGCTTTTAACAGTATTCCAGTTATATCACGGCGTGTCAGCTTAATGTGGGAGGAAAGCCCGAAGTGATACAGGTCTTAGACGTTTACCACTTCGGTGAAACCTACGAGCTCGGGTATGGTGCTGACAAACCTAGAAACATAATCGGGGCGAATCGGGATTCGAACCCACAATCATAGGTTTCTGGCGTGTCCAAGGGACGCAACTCCGCACAGCGAATCGCAGCACTTTAGACGACTGGGCCACCCGTGCCCCCGTATTCAGCATGTGTATTGGGCTGATCAAAATGAATCATGTAATATGAACAAGGGAATCGAGCATTCGACCCACGACCAGCACAGCCACAGCGACTTTGCCACAGCTAAGGCATAAACGGCATGGCCAATTGAAGCAGCTGTGACACTGGGACACTATTGAAAAGCCACGAGAGATATTGGTCAAATACCGGCTGTGATCACCCGCTGAACCCAGGCCGTATTGAGGACAGATATTTTTTTATCAGCTACAGCTGCAAACAGGTATGTATGTAATTAATGCATAATCAAATTGTTGGCACCGGTTAAGGAGGAAGGTAGTCTACAGAAGGTCATGAAGTGCTGAAGACGTCCAATCACGTCGTCCATTGAAGTACACTGTCGGGCAAACAAACTGTATACTTGAAAATTGGCCTTGGCCAAAACACTACAAAAACTATGAAAACGTTACTAGGCGTGGAAAGCTGCAAATGTACGGTCCAAAACGCCACTATGGTACCCGTAAAAAATGCGCGCCAATCGAATAACCATTTCGTATTTTTTTCCATTTCAGAAACCATGAAACATGGGTGTGTGTAAACTTTCTTTTGCCCGGTAGTGTAGTTCTTGCAAAGATATGTCAGAAACACCGGATCATATTATGGACTGGTATTACGACAACTGATTACTAACTTGAATAATGGTTGCACGTTGGGTCTTGTTTCACGTGTCCCTTTGGTGTATCGAAAACGTGGGTGTGGCCGAGGAAGCAGGCGTTGATGTTGGGGCAGAAGTCGAACGATTTACAAGGGAAGCTCTGATAGTCCGTGCACAGCTTGGCGCACTGGTTCGGGGTGTTGATGTTCTGGTAGATGGTGTCGGAGTCGGAGACGACCGTCGTTCCTTTAAGTTCAGTGAACTTTGCAGTGTAGTCACCTTGAGGAATGTAAGCGAGTGGGTGAGTGTGGTTTTACGCCGCTCAAAACAAATATTCCAACAATATCACGACGGGGGACACCAGAAAGGAAATTCACACATTGTACCCATATGGGGCATCGAACCAAGGTCTTCGGCGTGACGACCGAACGCTTTAACCACTGAGGATTCGAATCCAAGATCTTAGGTTTCTGGCGTTCCAAGGGGACGCAACTCAGTGACATCAGTGACATCAGTGCTAAGTGACATCGTCATCGACACAAGTCAATGAATATTCAGGGTTAGAATTGTCTTCAGCCACAAGTTAAGTGCCTGTTGTAAGAGGCGATTAACGGGATCGGGTGGTTGCATGTCATGGTATCCCAATTACATAGATCGATGCTCATGATGTATGCCACTCGATTGTCTGGTCATATAGCTGGAATATGCTGTATGCAGCATTAAACAAACAAACAAACACACGTCATGAACACCTTATTAACACGCAAGTTTAATATGTCGAAAAAAGCTTCGTGTAACAACTCTTGAAATAAATGTTTGACACTTCGTAGTTCAAAACCACATTTGGTTCGATTTATTAGGCAAGGTTTTGTTGTTGGTTTTGTTTAAAGCCGCATTCAGTAATATTCCAGCTCTATGGCGGCGGCTTGAGAATATCTGGACACAAGTCACCGGGCTTAAACATGCTGTCCTTTAAGTCAGCTGGCCTCTTACAACATGTAATCGTTACTGAAAACCTATTCTAACACGGAATCACTTCGAGGGTATTAGACACGAACATGCAATTATTAAAATGAAGACGTTTCATCACATTCTGAACTAAGGCTTGACTCATCCGATCCCGTTAGTCGCCTCTAACGACAAGCATAGTCGCCTCTTACGACAAGCATAGGTCACTGAAGACCTATTCTACCCCGGATCTTCACGGTACTACTTACGGATGTACAGGTTGCAAGAGGCGTTGTTGACAATGAGGTCGGGTCTCTCGTCAGGATGGACGCGGCTGAGGGTGCACATGCCGTTGGTAAGGCAGTACTCAAAAGACTGGCACGTGAACTCAATCTCTGCCACACACTCCGACGCGCAGCTATCGACAGCCATCCCCGTCAACTGCATGTCGCCGGAACCCCTGACAGCCTTGTTCGTCTCGGAGATAAACTGGCTTAGGGCTGTCACTGTGCAGGGGGCAAAAGGAAAAGGCGTACCGTAAAAGATCATCATAAAAAAAAAATTGATATCAAGAGTCAATTTGACTTAATCTGTTCGTCGCCGATAATAATTATAACTTTAACAAAATCCTCTCGAATTAAACAATAATACCTAAACCTAAACACCCATCCGTACCCTCAAACCCACCCCGCTACCCAATCACCCACCCTCTACTTAAACACCCACCATCTACCTAAACACCAATCCATCATCCATAGACCAATCTTCCTACCTAAACACCAATCCTAAACACCAATCCCTCTAGCTAAACACCAATTTCGCCGAAACATAAATCCCTCTGCCTAAACATCAACTTCTATACCTAAACACAAATCCCCGTACCTAAACACCCGTTATTCTTCTTAAACACCAATCCCCTTACCTAAACACAAGTTATTCTTCTTAAACACCCATCCCCTTACCGAAACACAAGTTATTCTTCTTAAACACCCATCCCCTTACCTAAACATAAGTTATTCTTCTTAAACACCCATCCCCCTTACCTAAACACAAGTTATTCTTCTTAAACACCCACCCCCTTACCGAAACACAAGTTATTCTTCTTAAACACCCATCCCATTACCTAAACACAAGTTATTCTTCTTAAACACCCATCCCCTTACCTAAACACAAGTTATTCTTCTTAAACACCCATCCCCTTACCTAAACACAAGTTATTATTCTTAAACACCAATCCCTTTACCGAAACACAAGTTATTCTTCTTAAATACCCACCCACCCCCCTTACCTAAACACAAGTTATTCTTCTTAAACACCCATCCCCTTACCTAAACACAAGTTATTCTTCTTAAACACCCATCCCCTTACCTAAACACAAGTTATTCTTCTTAAATACCCACCCCCTTACCGAAACACCAGTTATTCTTCTTAAACACCCACCCCCTTACCGAAACACCAGTTATTCTTCTTAAATACCCATCCCCTTACCTAAACACAAGTTATTATTCTTAAACACCAATCCCTTTACCGAAACACAAGTTATTCTTCTTAAATACCCCCCCCCCCCCCCCCCCCCCACCCCCCTTACCTAAACACAAGTTATTCTTCTTAAACACCCATCCCCTTACCTAAACACAAGTTATTCTTCTTAAACACCCACCCCCTTACCGAAACACCAGTTATTCTTCTTAAACACCCATCCCCTTACCGAAACACCAGTTATTCTTCTTAAATACCCATCCCCTTACCTAAACACAAGTTATTCTTCTTAAACACCCATCCCCTTACCTAAACACAAGTTATTCTTCTTAAACACCCATCCCCTTACCTAAACACTAGTTATTCTTCTTAAATACCCATCCCCATGCCGAAACACTAGTTATTCTTCTTAAACACCCATCCCCTTACCTAAACACAAGTTATTCTTCTTAAACACCCATCCCCTTACCTAAACACAAGTTATTCTTCTTAAACACCCACCACCTTACCGAAACACCAGTTATTCTTCTTAAACACCCATCCCCTTACCGAAACACCAGTTATTCTTCTTAAATACCCATCCCCTTACCTAAACACAAGTTATTCTTCTTAAACACCCATCCCCTCACCTAAACACAAGTTATTCTTCTTAAACACCCATCCCCTCACCTAAACACTAGTTATTCTTCTTAAATACCCATCCCCATGCCGAAACACAAGTTATTCTTCTTAAATACCCATCCCCTTACCTAAACACAAGTTATGCTTCTTAAATACCCATCACTCTACCTGAACACAAATCACTCCGACCTAAACATCCATCCTTCTACCTAAGCACACAGGTTTGTCAGCACCATACCCGTGCTCGTGGGTGTCACCGAAGTGGTAAACGTCTGAGACCTGCATCACTTCGGGTTTTCCTCCCACATTAAGCTGAGGCGCCGTGATATAACTGGAATACTGTTAAAAGCGGCGTTAAACAAAACTCACTCACACATTCTCTCATCTTAAACACCATCCTTACACCGAATCCTTGGTTGTTTTGTTTATACACGATCATACTTTTAATGTTACAATATCATTCACCCTGAAACACATCAAGGCATTATTTTCGAAGAGATAAAAAAATCCAGAACTATTCACCTTTGTTCGTAGATCCTGCGAAGGGATTTCTAATAATGTCAGTTGTTATTGAAGAAGCCTTAAAAACTCTATTCTGTAACAGAAACATCAAGGTAAATATGTTGCATGTATGACGTGTTGGTTATCAACGCATTTAAAGTTGGGGCGGACCCGGGGGAGAGATCGTGGGTTCAACGTGTGGTTACAACTGCTCTTACTACTACTGGGGCGGTCGGGTAGCCTAGTGGTTAAAGCGATCGCTCGTCACGCCGAAGACCCGGGTTCGATTCCCGACATGGGTACAATGTGTGAAGCCCATTTCTAGTGTCCCCCGCCGTGATATTGCTGGAATATTGCAAAAAGCGGCGTAAAACAATACTCACTCACTCACTCACTCACTTACTACTACTACTACTACTACTACTCCCACTACTGCTACTACTACTACAAGAGGGGGCATGGGTGGCGCTGCCATTCGCTGTGTAGAGTTGCGTCCCTTGGGCAAGCCAGAAACCCATGATTGTGGGTTCGAATCCCGGTTTACCCCGATTATGTTTCTCGGTTTGTCAGCACCATACCCGTGAAAGCGGGTTAAACCCAACTCACTCTATTACTCCAGGGAATGGGGGGTGGGGGTTCAAATATGGAATTCAGTTTTGGGTGAAGTTTGGTGAGGTGAACGGGTAGGCAAGGTTTGGGTGGGGTGCTCATACATGGGGAACTCATTCGTTCACTGGATGTGGGGTGGGCGTGGATGTGGGTGGGTCTCCACATCAAATTGGCCAACATTTTGTAAAGGTCAAACAAGTTGACATTGGGCGTTAAAGGGATTATAGAGTTAACATGTTTGGAATTTTCAAAGAGTTGATGACATTAGTGCTTTCAGGGCAATTGTCTTAAAATATACACACACCGTTTGTTTTAGAGTTACTATCAAAGCGTTGGTAAAAACATAGTCTTTGAGGACTTCGTAGGCGTCCTGGAGGGCGATTTCATGTTGCACGGGTCCCGACAGCACACCTGAAAACAATCCAGATCTTAAAATCTGTATTGTGAGTGAACGTTGTTTAACTGCGAAGTCTGTACAATTCCAGCTACCATATGGCGCTCTGTTACACGGGCACTCGTTATTGGTCAGTCAATAAAAATATATGCCTCCTCTAACTAAAGAGATATGTGTAATAGTTGTTTTATTTACAAAAGAGAAGCTTACGTAAAAAACACCGAACCCAGTAAATTCATAGAGGTTATTCTATCAGGTGAGTGTGTTCTGGGATGGCTAATACATCTGTATCGTGTGTGATTATTTGTTTGTTTGTTGTTTTACGCCGCACTCAATAATATTCAAGCTATATGACGGCGGTCTGTAAATAATCGAGTCTGGACCAGACAATCCAGTGGTTGATATCATGAGCATCAGTCCACGCAGTTGGGATCGATGACATGTTTCAAGTCAGCGAGCCTTACCACCCGATCCCGTTAGTCGCCTTTTACGACAAGCATAGTCACCTTTTACGGCAAGAATGGGTTGCTGAAGACCTATTCTATCCAGGAAGGTTTTGTTTGTTTGTTTGTTTGTTGTTTTACGCCGCACTCAGCAATATCCCACCTATATGACTTAGTGAATATTGAACCTAAACTCAAACAGATGGAGGTTCTAAGAAGCAGTTTGCAAGGTGTGAGGTCTACATTACGTGACGGTCATGTGCTAGTGATGTCGACTGGTCAAATACAGCCCCAGCTTACAATGTCTATGGATCACCGCAGAGGGGTTGTTTCAGGGGGTAAATCGTGTTCAGAGTGATCCAGCGAGCCTGACCACCGTATGAGGAAAAATCAAACTTTGTGAGCCTTGGCTCCAACCATACCCAAACTTGTAAAATGCCCGAGCTCCTTCCCAATGAGACTCTGATTTTCAGTATCTTAGACTATTGTTTGATTGTGATAACAATTGTAGTGTATAGTTTATAGTGGAATAGTGTCTCCACATTCCGAAGGTTAATTCTGACTCGATCGCCGATGGAAAGGGCGACAAAATGTTTGTTTGTTAACACTAAAAGTAGTATCCACATGACCTTTTTATTTGTATCTTTATCGGTATATGACCCCAACGGATACCGTTCTTTTCGCTGACTTGTCCTGTCGGGAAACCCACCCATTATATGATAAAAACCTATTATCAAGTGCTTAATCCGTTAAATAACAAACACCCCCAAATAAACAAAACTAAACTCGAAACTTAGGACATGATGCACGTGTTTGACATGTGACCATGTCGAATGAAGCCAAAACTATTAGTTATGGTGTCCTTAGGTGTCATATTAGGTTAGCGGAAAAAATATATTGGGCGAGGCGTCAGCTAAAGGCACCATAATGAATTTATTATGCCGAAAAGTTTACAAAAGTTTACACTCTCTGGACTTGACACTTGACACTTACAATCGTACGTTGACGTTAAGGGTCAAAGGGAGACTATTCTTTCAACCTTAGAGGCCAAACCTTGTTGACAATTTTAACTGTTATCTGTATCAATAAAGTCACGAACGTGATATAAAAAACCCAGATTAATGTCCTTGCACATCACAATTAACGATAGTAAGACACAAAACAGTGTCAAATAACGAATTTCGGTACCAGAATTTGCATGTGAAATATGTGAGGTGGGTGTTGGAAAATCCAAGATGGCTGTTACTGACGGTAAACGGTCTCATATTAGGTCAGTATCAACCATCTTGGATTTTTACTGACAGTATAGGGCTCATGTGGGGTGAGTAGTTCTGCTCTCTGATTGGTCAATCTCACTTTGAGGCAGAATACTAGTTCAACTGCTATCTATTATGCCTTATTACATATATGGTCAAGGGTAGGTAGCTCCCAGCAGCCTTGAGGCCTTACATAACTATTTAGCTAGTGAATGGCCGGTATTTATTAAACTACTTCCGAATCCATTATACATCAATATCATTAATGGTACAGCAGTTACATTTCTTAAACTTGTTACTACTACAGAAGCGCCAACTTACGTGAATAATGGTCGCAGGTGGCACTTGTCGACAGCTGGGTACCATCCGGGGTGTAATGAGTACTCTGCGCACACGTTTGCGCACCTGGACAAATATCGAAGCTATTGCAGGTGGCTTTTGTCGTGTCGCACGCACTTGCGCACGTAAAGGCGTCAGTCACGCCGGTCAACGTGACGTCATCCTTGTACTGGGCCACGAGGTTCGGCCATCGTCGGAATTTAGCTAAAAAAGCAGAAATGTGTTGTTACAAATGGGTTTGTTTTAGACAGGATATAGGGTGTATTGAACATACAATGCTAATGTCAAGGTTGGGTGTTGCCAGGAAACGTAAGGGTCGCGTGGACAACTTTCATGGTTCGGGTTTACACGAGTGACCCATACTCGCTATATTTCGTCCAGAAGCTGCGCCAGGATCCGCTGACTGAAGTTCTTAATCACAGATTCGTCCTGATAAGGCTCATGTCAACATTATCTATGATTATGGGATTCAAAGTGAAGCTATCATCTGCGTCACTTTGACTTTTCCCTCAAAGTCAAGCCGTTTTAAAACCAACTCATTTTGTTCGACTTTGTCAAAGTTACAACACAATAAATAACCATTGTAACACGTCTTTCCCCGTTACTGATACATATTCCTAAGTTCCACTCGAAACTGTAGCATTAGCATTATATGATTATATCATTATACCATAGTCTTGTGGTAGAGCGTCTGAGAGCGGAAGGTCGGGGTTTCGATCTCCGGCCGCGTATACCAAACGTTAAAAGATGGTTACACAGCCTGGCGCTCGGCGTTAAGGGCCAAAACAAGGCCTGGTCGGCTCGGAGACAGTATATATATTCATGTTCACCTGCGGCATGGCATCTAAGCGGGCGAGCACAATATAATCGGCATTAGGCCGGACCGCACACACACAATGTTTGCATTAAAAACTATGAGCCTAATTGTTTTTTTAGAAAAAAACACACTTTGCAACATTGTAATTCAGGGAATTTCTTTTGTTCAAAGGTCTGAATCATAATTTACAGGGGTCCCTGCTGACAGAAGATGTGCCAAGAAAGGAGTTTTTATGTCATTCCATTCAGTTAATCTTTTTAACATTTATCAGGTATACCACTATGATTGTGCCAAGTTATAACTCTTATTTCTTAAAACAATAACAAATGTTTCAGGAAGTCTGTGTTGTGAAAACTTATTACAATTTTTGTTTTCATAATATGTGTGTTTTAAATTTTTATATTACATATGCATTTAAACTCAAATGTGCCATGTTCTCATTCTTGATTCTGAAAGTACCACATGCAAAGTGCAATTTGTTTCACCATCTGGATTTCACATGTGTGCTTCATGACAGTATAGGAACTTGCATCTATAGGCGAATCACAAAATGTCTTCGCGCTGTGTTAATCCACTGGATCTAAGTTATCTTGTATGCATATCGTTAGAATATTGAAAGAGTGTGGCGTGAGAAACAAACAAACAAACCAATAGCGGGTGCCTTGTCTAAGAAAGTTGCAAGGAAGTACGTGTTGTCTTCATCCCAGTGAATAGATGATCTTTGTATCCGAATAGGACTCATATTTGTCAGTGTCGAAATTTTCGCAACAATCTGCGCTTGCAAGACAGTTCTGTATTGTGAAAGGAATTCACTGGCGTCTCCTGCAAATAATACATCGTAATCATAACCCATTATCCTTCTCTGAAACGTTATATATATAAACTGACGTCCAAACGAAACTTTACCAACTGAAAATATAAATTTCAGACAAAGTTTTTTTATCTTAATTTTTTTATCGATGAAGTCTATCTAAAACGCATAACCTAAATACAATAGTGTATGCAGAAAATGTTAATCGTCTGTTACATGTTTGCGAGATAACACGCGAAAAAGTGAAAAAACACGTGCACCACGGACAACTGCAAATGCACGTGCGGGTAAGGGTATAAAACGATTGCAACGGCGAGTCAGACATCCACAGTGATAAAGAAAACACAAAAGAAATGCCACGACTCACAGTCGAACAACGTGAACGAGCCTTGGGTATGGTACAGATGGGAGCCACCCACGCCCATATTGCACGAACCTTCGGTTGCTCCCGTGTTGCCGTTACCAACTTGATGCAACGTTACAGACAGACAGGGCGGACAGCTGACAGGCCAAGAACGGGCAGACCCAGGCTGACCACGCCCCATGATGACCGGTACTTGCGAACCTTGCACCTCCGAAATCGCTTCCTGACAGTGACGTCATCGGTGACAAACGCCTTAGGTTACAGGGTTAGTCGACAGACAATGGCCAGGAGACTCAGGGCACATGGAATCAGGGCTTTTAGACCATACAGAGGACAGCTATTGACAGCGCAACATGCGATTGAGATGGGCACGGACTGTACGACGTTGGCAACGACGTGACTGGCAGAGGGTTGTCTTCACTGACGAAAGTCGATTCTGTATGTTAAGGGCTGATGGAAGACAACGTGTTTACCGCCGAAGGGGTGAACGAACGGCGGCGTGTCGCGTGCAGGAGGTCGTACCATATGGTGGAGGGAGGGATCTGTAGGCAGGAGAGGACACCGCTGGTCATCGTTGACGGAAACTTGACAGCTCAGCGTTACATGGATAACATTCTTCGTCCAGTTGTCCTACCATTTCTCCAACAGCAGCCACGTGGTGTCATTTATCAGCATGACAACGCTTGAGCCCATATAGCTAGAATTGTCACTAACCTCGCAGCCAACAACGTCAACGTCCTTCCGTGGCCTGCACGCTCACCCGACATGTCCCCCATAGAACACCCCTGGGACTTGATGGATCTTCGTGTTCGACAACGACCACACTGTCCAGCCAACCGGCAAGAACTGATCTTGGCCCTCCAAGAAGAATGGCGTCAAATCCCACGTGACCTCATCAGACGACTGACTTTTTCTGTGCGTCGAAGAGTTTTTGCGTGTATTGAGGCATTTAGTGGTCACACACGCTACTAATGACTTGTTATTGAACGTGAGCGATTGTTTATGTACTCTGCCTATTGTCCATGATTCTGAAAGCTCGAGTTTTGTACCACACCCAACTTTAGGGGGGTCTGACGTCATTCTCGGTCGCGGTATGATTGTCATTTTCAGTGTTGATTATGTTAATATATTGATCTTCTCAATACACTTTACTTCATGCATGTATGTTTTGTTGTTTTTGAGCAAGAGTGATTTTAAACTCTGGTACAGTTTCTTTTGGACGTCAGTTTATATAGGAAAATGGATTTCAAAACAATCTTTAAATACTATTCTTCTTGAAAATTAAGAAAACCAATGAAGAAAGTTGTTTGTAGTCATCGAGAAAAGGGACAATGATTCATATTGTCTCTCTAACTGCATCCGAGTCACCAGAGATGGCTGAGAAAGTCTTTTTTTAAAAGGATCTTGTAAACGGAATCCAGCGTCAATCGCCTGTTATAATAGTACTGTTTTCTTCACTGATAAAATAAACGGATTGGCATATATTTATGGTTTGTAGTTCTGTCAAATCCTTCTTTAAAAAAAAACATGCCTTTGTTTCTGTATCACCTTTCGTCACGATATAGCTGCAGCAGCAGCAGAGTCAAATTACCTGGGAACGTTATCTGAAAATCAGTCTGTTGCTCATCTGTGAAACAGGGCGTGATCCCAAAGGCGTTGAGCACATTAGGAGTTTCCTGGTCGAAGTCGTAGAAATCGTATATGTATCCCAAGCCACTCTGAAAAGAAGAATCGTGTTACCACCTTCCATAGGGTTGCTACTACTACTGCTATTGCTACTGCTACTGCTACTGCTACTGCTACTACTCCTCCTACTACTACTTCTACTGCTTCTAATATTATTGCTACTACTACCGCCTCTGCTACTACTATTGCTTCTGCTACTACTACTGCTACTTCTTCTGCTACGGCGTCTGCTACTACTACTACTACTACTACTACTACTGCGCCTGCAAGTACAACGACTACTACTGCTTCCGCTACTGTTGCTGCTAATGCTGTTACTACTCTTGCTGCTACTCTACTGCTGCTTCTACTGCTTGGTACCTCTACAACTGCTCTTACTACTACTACTACTACTACTACTACAAGAGGGGCACGGGGGTCAGTCGTCTAAGGCGCTGCGATTCGCTGTGCAGAGTTGCGTCCCTTGGGTACGCCAGAAACCTATGATTGTGGGTTCGAATCCTGATTCGCCCCATTATGTTTCTAGGTTTGTCAGCACCATACCCGTGCTCGTGGGCTTCACCGAAGTGGTAAACGTCTAAGACCTGCGCCACTTCGGGTTTTCCTCCCACATGAAGCTGACACGCCGTGATATAACTGGAATACTGTTTAAAGCGGCGTTAATCCCCAACACACTCACGAACACTAAAGTTACTCTCACCAAAGGTTCACTTATTTCAAGCCGAACTGGCGTGTCTGGGCTGTCACTGTCGCTTCCTATGTCATTGGAACTCGTCCAGTAATCCTAGAAGAATACACAAATACAATCATGAACTGATCAGGTCACATTCGTAGGTCACATGTAAAGCTAGAAGCATTTCGTGATAAATCATAGGCAATCAACTTGAAAATATCATTAACATTAGGCGTTTATTAAGTTTATATTTTGTGAAAAAATGTCCAAAAAGTAATGAAATCTGAAAGCCTTAAAGTGTGATATGTCAATGATTATCAACTTTACAACAGTTTTGAAGATGTCAAATGTTCTTATGCAATTCAGCAAATCTTCAAACTTCAACATGTCTTGTTATACTTAAATAAAGATTTTGAACTTAATGCCTGAAAAGTTAGTTAACCGCTTCAACAAATCAACAAATCAGGTGCTTAAGGTATAGTAGGCAGCCAATCAGTAATTATAAAAGATAAAAACATATCTCCATCTTTTGGAATACAATATCATTCTCCTTTCAATATCTCCCGTGGGAACCAGTTTCGGATGATAAGGGAAATGAAAGACACATTGGCTGAAAAGCGTAATAATCTTGGGAGCAGAAGGAACAATACGTCCTCTCAGTTGATTATAGCATATGTTTGATGTTCATTTGAAAATAGAGTTTGCGATATTATATCCACGAATGAACTTTACTTGCGCGTAGTCAGCATCATCCTTTATAACTTCCACATGGTTTTATTTAAAAAAAAATAGAATTTGATTTAAACATTTAAAAATTTAAAAAATAAATTTTAATGATACTGCTAATGGGTATCTTTGACATCTTATCTTTGAAAATCAACAAATTTTCTTTTTTCGGCACAAATGTTCAACGTTTCAAACATGGTAGGGATCATGTAATTCATTTAACGATACTCCCCCACCTATAGATTTCTTTTTATATACTGTTGCAGGAATGAGTGATGGTTAAGTAGACATAATCAATTTTTACAACAGATTTTCTAAAAAAGTATTTCAATTACACACACCAAAAAATTAAACTTACTCTCACTTTATCTGGATTTAGTCAACTTACGCTCATGAAGTAGACTTCAAAAGATACATTTGCCCCCATTCTTTCTGGGAAATCCGTTCTGATGGTTGAGTATACATCGCAGTCAATGCCCCTGACAGATCTCTGTAAAGATAGACGAGTACATTACAGTTTATTATAGCTTAAATGGATAGAATTATCATTAAACCGCCCTCAGAAATGAGCGGCCCACGGTAGCTTGATAATGCCCTCCTATTGCTTGACGACGGGCCATTATCACGCCCGTTGTCAGGTGACGTCATATTGATGTTCATTACAGCTAAATGGATAGAATTAACATTAAACCGCCCACATGCTATCAGAAATGAGCGGGCCACTGTAACTTGATAATGCCCTCATATTGCTCGACGACGGGCCATTATCACGCCCGTTGTTAGGTGATGACATAGGATAGGGATAGGTGACGTCATGTTCAATAGTGACGTCATCTGGTTTGTTCTCTGACGTTACCATATTTGTAAAGTGACATTCGTGTTGACTGAAGTACATGTTTCAAAACCGATATTGTTGTTTATTGTTGTTTCTATCCAGTTTAGCTATTATAACGGTAACGCTATTTTTCAGGGCATTACCATTTGCAGAAACCCTCGGTCGTTACAGAGCTGATAAACCTGAAGCCATTAAAGGAGATGATCGCGGCCTGTAAATAATCGACTCTGGCCCACATAGACCAGTGATTGATATTATGAACACGCAATCAGGTCGGATCACCGGGTGCATCTTTGTTTTCTCTTACAAATGTTGTTGGGAACCTATTGTAATACCCCGGGACACCAATGGGTCATTCATTCAACATTCACAGCGTTCTGGCATTCAGTAAACAAAATCGGAATAGAGATTCACAGCTGCGAATTGCTGCTGGCTCGGAGTGGATGCTTACCAATTCATCACCAGTTATGTATGAGAGCTCGGCCATATTATCACTGAGTGAAGTGCATGCCCAAAACCAGATTAATCAATCCATGAGACAGATGACAAACACAATGAAGAGTAAATTTCAAGTTTCCCATGAGTCGGGGATAAAGCTTGCGGTGAAATATCATGGTTAAGTAATTATGGCTTAAAGTGTAAAAAATAAATAAAATATTTACACTGACGAAAAAAGCCAAAATAATGTTTAACAAAATAAGTCGGATCCTAACCCAAGAAACGTCTAAGGTTAGTTTTTCATTGATGACTTGAGGCACCACAATAATTGAAGTACATGTCTCACATATTGCTACTAACGGGCGACTAACGGGATCGGGTGGTAAGGCTCGCTGACTTGGTTGATGCTTGTCTTCGTATCTAAATTCCGTTGATCGATATTCATGACGTCTATCACCGGATCGTCTGGTCGAGACTCGATTATTTACAGACCGCCGTCATACAGCTGGAATATTGCTGAGTGCGGCGTTAAACAACAAACAAACAAACTCCTTATTCCTACTGGCAGTATCACATTCTCACAACAGTATTTCTTGTGCTATTATCTGTTTTTATCACCATGTTTTCCAGTGACATCTTGTCGAAACCTGACGAACCGCATGTGTAAATGCATGTTTGACAATGTCAGGAATCGATTTGTAAACTTACTGATACATTTATATTAGTTTTTCATTGACGACTTGAGGCACGATAATAATTGAAGAATATGTCTCACATATTGCTATTTCCAAGCATAAAAGAAATAACATGATAACAAAATACATGGCTATTAATGATTACTATGTGCCTGTAATATCTGGTAGTATAATACGGGAACTTTGCACATATTTGTCAAGGATGGAGACCTGTGATACTTTACATGTCCTTGAAGCAGACAGAGTAACATAAAGATTAAGAACACACAATGCAATTTAGAAAATGGTCAAATGTAACAAATGTTATATTTGGGATAACACTTTCTTTGTAAAGTACAGATTCTCGTACGTTTTTTTATTTAGGTTGAGTCCCATCCCGGATTCGAACCCACACTGCCAGATTGAGGCACCTAATCGCTGACTTTGTGTGCTGGTGATTAAGTGCCTCACTCTGGTATTTATTCAAAGAAATTGATTTCAATGTGGGTTTTTTATTTATCGAGTCATAAACGATCTACTCTGATACATAGCTATCAACCCATTTTGAAGAAACTTGGCCAATCTGACGAATGCCTCTCAATCCTACCATCAGGAGTGTTCCTGGGGTAAACCAGATTGGGAAATCATCCATCAAATGGTAATAATTCCAGATGAGATGTTTTACCTTTATACTTCCAAACACGCAAAATTATTGCAGTCAATTCTAAATTAACTCACAAGGATGTGTAATGATCACCGTGCACCTACCTGCCCTGAATAAGAATAGGAGGGATTCAGATAGAAGAGCTGCTCTGGCTTCCTGAGATTGATCGGCACCGAGGTCATGTTACGCGTGGCGTCCCATGTGGTGTTCTCTATGGGCACGATACTGCAGTTGAGGAACGTCCTGTCAATAACGTAGGCCACACCTGAAGAACACCAGATATTTTGCATATGCGTTTCCAGAGAAGGGGAGAACGTATCTAGATAGGGGAGGGGCGTATCAAGAGAGGGGGAGAGACGTTTCAGGAGAGGGGAGAGACGTATCCAGAGAAGGGGAGGGACGTTTCAAGAGAGGGGAGGGACGTATCCAGAGAGGGGAGTGACGTATCCAGAGAGGAGGAGGGACGTATCTAGAGAGGGGAGGGTCGAATCCAGAGAAGGGGAGGGTCGTATCCAGAGAAGGGGAGAGACGTATCCAGAGAGGAGGAGGGACGTATCCAGAGAAGGGGAGGGACGTAACTAGAGAGGGGAGGAACGCATCTAGAGAGGGGAGTAACGTATCCAGAGAAGGAGAGAAACGTATCCAGAGAAGGGGAGGTACGTATCCAGAGAAGGGGAGGGACGTATCCAGAGAAGGGAAGGGACGTATCTAGAGAGGGGAGGTACGTATCCAGAGAAGGGGAGTGACGTATCCAGAGAAGGGAAGGGACGTATCTAGAGAGGGGAGGTACGTATCCAGAGAAGGGGAGGGACGTATCCAGAGAAGGGGAGGGGCGTATCTAGAGAGAGGAGGTACGTATCCAGAGAAGGGAAGGGACTTATCCAGAGAAGGGAAGGGACGTATCTAGAGAGGGGAGGTACGTATCCAGAGAAGGGAAGGGACGTATCCAGAGAAGGGAAGGGACGTATCTAGAGGAGGTACGTATCCAGAGAAGGGGAGGGGCGTATCTAGAGAGGGGAGGTACGTTTCCAGGGAAGGGGAGGTACGTTTCCAGTGAAGGGGAGGGACCTATCTAGAGGAGGTACGTATCCATAGAACGGGTAGGACGTATCTAGAAGGGGGAGATGTATCCAGAGCGGGTAGAGCTGTATCCAGAGATGGGGAGGGACGGATCTAGAGAGGGGAGGTACGTATCCAGAGAAGGGGAGGGACGTATCCAGAGAAGGGGAGGGACGTATCCAGAGAAGGCGATAAACGTATCCAGAGAGGGGAAGTAAGGTTTCTAGAGTAGGGACGTATCCGGAGAAGGGGTAGCGTATCTAGAGAGGGGAGTAACGTATCCAGGGAGGGGAGGGGAGGGACGTATCCAGAGAGGTGGAAATGCGTATCCAGAAAGGGGAGGTACGTATCCAGAGAGGTGAGGTGAGGTGAAATTGGGTTTAACGTCGCGTCCAAGATTATTGCACTTATATAGCGACGTGCATGCACGTGTATGTGTGTGTGTGGCTGCTTGTACTAGTCCGGACTGATGCCGATTTATAGTGCTAGCTCACTGAGATACCATGCCGCAGTTTAACATGAATACCCCACTCAGACACAGTATACTGACTCCGAGCCGACCAGTCCTTGTTTTAGCCCCTTAATGCCGAGCGCCAGACAGGGTAACAACAAGTACAATCTTTTAACGTCTTTTTGTATGACGCGGCCCGGGATCGAACCCTGGACCTTCCGCTCTCCGGGCGGACACTCTACCACAAGACCACGGAGGCGGTCGTATCCAGAGAGGGGAGGGGCGTATCCATAGAGGGGAGGGGGCGTATCCAGAGAGGGGAGGGCCGTATCTAGAGAGAGGAGGGGCGTATCTAGCGAGAGGATGTACGTATCCAGAGAAGGGGAGGGACGTATCCAGAGACGGGAAGGGACGTATCTAGAGAGGGGAGGTACGTATCAAGAGAAGGGAAGGGACGTATCCAGAGAAGGGAAGGGACGTATCTAGAGATGGGAGGTACGTATCCAGAGAAGGGGAGGGACGTATCCAGAGAAGGGGAGGGGCGTATCTAGAGAGGGGAGGTACGTTTCCAGGGAAGGGGAGGTACGTTTCCAGTGAAGGGGAGGGACCTATCTAGAGGAGGTACGTATCCATAGAACGGGTAGGACGTATCTAGAAGGGGGAGATGTATCCAGAGCGGGTTGAGAGAAGGGGAGGGACGGATCTAGAGAGTGGAGGTACGTATCCAGAGAAGGGGAGGGACGGATCTAGAGAGTGGAGGTACGTATCCAGAGAAGGGGAGGGACGTATCCAGAGAAGGGGAGGGACGTATCCAGAGAAGGCGATGGACGTATCCAGAGAGGGGAAGTAAGGTTTCTAGAGTAGGGACGTATCCAGAGAAGGGGTAGCGTATCTAGAGAGGGGAGTAACGTATCCAGAGAGGGGAGGGGAGGGACGTATCCAGAGAGGTGGAAATGCGTATCCAGAAAGGGGAGGTACGTATCAAGAGAGGGGAGGGGCGTATCCATAGAGGGGAGGGGGCGTATCCAGAGAGGGGAGGGCCGTATCTAGAGAGAGGAGGGGCGTATCCATAGAGGGGAGGGGGCGTATCCAGAGAGGGGAGGGCCGTATCTAGAGAGAGGAGGGGCGTATCCATAGAGGGGGGAGGGCCGTATCTAGAGAGACGAGGGACGTATCCCTCTCCCCTGTTTGTCTTCCCTGTTTGTGAAATTAATGTATAATATTCACTCCGCTCTCTGACGTAATCCCTTCATGATGAATTCAAGGATGTACCCAGACCCATTATCACTTTCAGATTCTACATCACCTCGCCATCCATTCATATCGTCCCATATGACATATCCATCCATGCATATCGTCCCACATAACATATGCATCCATGCATATCGTCCCACATTACATATGCATCCCTGCATATCGACACACATAGCCAAGCCATCCATGCATACCGTCCCACATGATATATCCACCCACGCATATAGTCCTGCATAACATATGCATCCATGCATATCGACATACATTACCAAGCCATCCATGCACAAAGACCCACATGGCATATCCATTAATGTGTATCGACTCATATCACCGATCCATAAATGCATATCGACCCATGTCATCAAGTTACCCATGCATACCGTCTCACATCACCAAGTCATTCATGCATATCTTCCCACATCACCAAGTCATCCATGCATATTTTCCCCATCCCCAAAGTCATTCATGAATATCTTCCCATCACCAAGGCATTCATGCATATCTTCCCACATCACCAAGTCCCCCATGCATATCTGCCTATCACTTAGTCTCCCGGGCATACCGTTCCACATCACCTATTCATCAATGCATATCTTCCCACATCACCAAGTCATTCATGCATATCTTCCCACATCACCAAGTCATCCATGCATATCTTCCCACATTACCAAGTCATTCATGCATATCTTCCCACTTCACCAAGTCATCCATGCATACCGTCCCACATCACCAAGTCATCCATGCATATCTTCCCCATCCCCAAAGTCATTCATGCGTATCTTCCCACATCACCAAGTCATCCATGCATATCCTCCCACATAACAAGTCATTCATGCATATCTTCCAACATCACTTAAAATCCCATGCATATCTTCCCACATCGCAAAGTCGTCCATGCATACCTTCCCACATTACCAAGTCATTCATGCATATCTTCCCACTTCACCAAGTCATCCATGCATACCGTCCCACATCACCAAGTCATCCATGCATATCTTCCCCATCCCCAAAGTCATTCATGCATATCTTCCCACATCACCAAGTCATCCATGCATATCTTCCCACATAACAAGTCATTCATGCATATCTTCCCACATCACTTAAACTCCCATGCATATCTTCCCACATTGCAAAGTCGTCCATGCATATCTTCCCACATCACCAAGTCGTTCATGCAGGTCATCCATGCATATATTCCAACTTTCCCTATACATCCATGCATCGTCCTATGTCACAGAGACCCCCATTTTCTTACCAGTGTTGTAGTCATGGATCTCAACGGTAGCGTCGGTGCTGTAGTAAGGGTATACCGGGCCGGGGCGGGAATCGAACCGGATCAGCTGGTAGTTGTAATCGTAATACACCTGTGGCAATATAAACATCATGTTTGTCTTTATCGGTTTGGGGCCCGCATTTTTGTAGTATTTACTTGATCCTGAATTTGCTTTTTTTAACCCTTGTTATAACAAGAGCGCTGTTGCTCGTTTAGAAAAGCAGGAAAGCCTGTTCTGTTTTCACCAGTGAGTGGACCCAGTTGGCACAACTGTGAATTAAGGTTGGAAAAAAAGAGATTGTGTTAACAGCGAAACCATCATTGATAATGACCGCTGCATACACGTAGTCCATAAATGTTGGTACAAATACTTGCATCTGCTTGCGTGACTGTGTTATCCATGACGGATGTGATCTCCTCTCTGTACTGGTACTGGGCCTGAAGTTGGGGCATATCGCGTGTCTGTTTACGTCCCATGCAAGCAATTCCTTTGGGTGTCTACAACACAGCACGGTACACTGCAGTCAACAAAATTAACCCGTCACCACACGTAACAAATGTTATATTTGGGATAACACTTTCCTAGTAAAGTACAGATTCTACTACTTCCTTGGGTTGAGTCCCATCCGGGATGAAAACCCACACTGCCAGAGTGAGGCACCTAATCGCCAGCACACAAAGTAAGCGATCTAAACCACTCAGCCACTAAAATGAAAGTCCCACAACTGGTAGTCCAGGTCACGTACTTTGCGTACCCCTCTGACAAGTGTAAATTGGCACAACTCCCAGCTATAAACATACAATGCTATTAACACTTGTCAGAAGGGTACACAAAGTATTGTTAGTGTTATGTAAACGAATGTAATGAATAAACAAATAAATAAATCGTCATTTCCCCAGACGAAAGATTGATGCCCCCTACGTCGCAAATTAAGAATATCAGCAAAATGGTTAGAAACTTTGTCAAGTTTTAAGCCATTGTTAGCAATAATCCAACGATATCACGGCGGGAACATCAGAAGATGAACCTATGTGGAGAATCGAACCAGGACTTCCAAATAACGAGCGAAAGTTTTCACAAATTGGCTATCCGCATCAAGATTTGAAAGCCTCAAACATTTAGTCCTTCAAACAAAACCGACGCTTACTTCTAACTTAGATTCGTCCGTAATTTCGCTCCTGTAGCCAGTATAGTCATAAATGTGATGGAAGCTTGAGCCCACGCCGGGACCCAACAAGTTCTGGTAGCCGACGATTTCAGCCCTGACCGGAATCTGAGGAGAATTGTCCGACGTGGTCCAGTTCGTAACTGCAATAAATGATTATAAATACCTCAAAGTAATGTTCACGAGGTAAAGGTGTGTTAAACTTGTACTAATGGAACGTCCCAGCAAACTGGATGACAGTGCCTCCAACGTCTTTTTGTCTGCTAGTTTAATTAAAAGCAGTCTTTGGTAGGCTTTCAGACATTGGAAGTACATGAATACATGTCACCTTTTAAGGAAAACAACTTCTTTTATTCTTTGTCACGACGTTTCAGAGCTACCTCTTGCTCCTTCGTGAGGTGAATACTGTCAGTTAGTCAGTCAGTTTCTTAGTTTTATCGACCCCTTCTAGCTTACTTACTTACTTACTTACTTTGGAGATTTAACTTGCGCTTTCCGACTGATGCGTATTTCGCTCACGGGCGCGGCCAGGCCATTTAATGTGTTTCCGAAAGGGGCGAAAGTGGTCTGTGCAACCCAAGAGGGAGGTTTTAGGGTTTGCTTATATAGAATTTGGGGATTTTGAGATTTGGAATAGATGCCGATGGGATTGGGGAGGAGAACTAAGGGAGCTGGGTATGGTGGATGTTTGTTTGTTTATGTGATTTTGATTTGGTAGGTTATTGTGTTTTTAGATGCGTTTTATTAGTTCCGTTTTGATTAAGAATACGCCTAAGGCCTTGAAGTTTTCTAGTTTATTTTGTGGGTTTAGTATTGCTTCTAGAGTTAGAGCCTTGTTTAGATTGAGGGTGATTTGTAATGCGGTTCAATGTGTTAGGTAGTGTGTGCAGTGGATGAGAGCGTGTTTCTGGTTGTTTGCAGTGTGGGCAGTTACCTGTAGTGTGTTGTTTAAATTTTTTTAGGTGGTTATTTAGGTTGGTGTGTCCTGTTTGGAGTTTAGTGATTACTCTGTCGATTTTTTGGGATGGATGGAGAATTTTTGGTTTGGTTAGTGGTTTGCTGAGCACTTTTTTGATTTGGCTATTTGAGTTTAGATATAGGTTATGCCATTTTTGTGATTTTTTGCTTGTTTACACTTTTAATTTCTGATTTTGAGATGGGTAAGTTTAAGCTTATTTCTGGGATTTTGAGGGATAGTTTAGCTGCTTTATCGGCGTTTTCATTACCGTATATTCCTACGTGGGCGGGTATCCACAAGAAGGTTATTTGTTTGCCTGCCTTAGTTAGGTCGTTGGAGCTTTTAAGTATTTGATTTATTAATTTAGGTCGGTTTTTGGTATTTTTGTTTTGGAGGGCTTGCAGTCCACTTAGGGAGTCGGTAAGTATTAGGATTTTTTTGTGTTTTTTGGATTCTTGATTATGGAGGGCTGAGGCCATGCCCATTATTTCTGCCGTGAATATTGATTGGTTGTTTGGGAGTCGGAAGGATTGTGTGGTTTTAGTTGGTTGTGTGGTATGGACTCCGAAACCTGTGTGTTTGGAGGTAGGATCTGAGGATCCGTCCGTGTAAATGTGACACCAATTTGGCTATTTTTCGTGTATGTATGCTAGTGTGGTAGTTTTAGCTAATGTGAATACTGACGATATGTTTACACAAGGTAGGATTAATGTACAAAGATACCATGCCATGACGAAGCCTATGAGATTAAGAGCAGAGAAGCCAATGGGCGTTGTAACAATGAGCTGACTATAGTAACACTAACAGTAAGGCAATCAAAGATTTGTGGTCTTATTGACTTCGTCATTATATTGTTTGTTTGTGCATTAATCCCACATCATGTACACTTATCATCATGTAGTATGCACGCACGTAATAGTAAAAACAAAGTAAGTATTTTGACATCGTAGTTGATTTGTTTTTTCTGTATGCATCACAAATAAAGGGGCAAGAAGAAGCTCTGAACTGAAACGTCGTACAAAGTATAGAAGAAGTTGTTATCCATAATCAGTGGCATGTATTCGAGTTCAATGTAATGATCAGGTGCATATCAATCCGAAAATTACTAAGTAGTTGGATTAGGCATTTGGTCCTTTGAACAGCACACAGGTCACAAATCCGGAGCAGTTGAGCAGCGTAGGTCGCAGAGATGAGGTGAGGTAAAACTGAGTTTAACGTTGCGTTCAAGATTATTGTACTCTTATGGTGACGTGTATGCACAGTAAAATGACGCTTTGCCAGTCCAGTACAGGCAGGGTAACAACAAGTACCATTTGTACCGTATGACGTGGTCGGGAATCGAACCACCGACCTTCCGCTCCCTGGGCAGGTGCTGGTCGCAGAGACTAAATGGGGAAATGTTCACCGAAGGTGATGCGTGCCGTACCCATGTAAACGTACACTGGTACGCACGAATCATTACGCCGTATTCATTCCGCTTGGCAAATACATATATTAGCAACTGTATCCTAAAGTAAATGCACATGTACTAACCAGAGAAGTAGTAGTCGAGGGTGAAGTTGACACCGAGGTATCCCCAGTACATGCACGACTGCCAGTGGTCACACTGAATGCCCCGGACAGTAGACTGACCTATATATACCTGGAAGAGTGAGTGAGTAAGTTGAACAGTCGAAGGCGCTCACCACTGTGGTTAAAAGACAAGAATATGTATAGTGTCAACAAAACGATGATAATAAGACGAATCCGGGATTCGTTGCCATGAAGTGGGTAAAACTGAGGTAGACAACTCTGCACAGCGAATTGCGGCGACGTGGACAACTTGGCTCTCCTCGTCCCCACGTACCTTGAATACTAAGTTATGAGTTTGTATGGGACTTAACGCTGGTTTTAGCTGTATGATGTCAGACAACGGCCATCTTTCATGCTGGAGGAATATTACGAATGTTGTTGAAGGATACCATTTTGGTAACACAATGTTAGCTGACACATGCCTCTCTTCTCTATCAACAATATCATCGTACCATCATTTTTGTCATGAAAAAACTGCAATATAATTTCGAGAATTAATCATGAATCCGGAATCCAGAAACATATTTATCACAATTTGGATAAAAATATTCTCGCGGGGAAAAGGCTCATGTGCATCACTGACAATCGTGGGAAATAATAAATAAACGGAAACAAAGAACGATTTTGCAACAGAACAAGATATAGATGCCCTTGAAAGATGAATTGACCATGACAGCGTCAACACATGCCCTCTGTACACGTCATCACAGGCTGAAAAAGGGTCATTTGTCAGTTCACAAGTTTCGAGTACGATCACCATTATCAGTGACACAAAGTTGATGATGGCGCCTTAGTGACGACACAAGATTGTTGAGGAAGGCTTGTGGAATACCATTATGCATGGATAACGTCACCGTTTTGTTTGGAAGCCGCGTAAACGACGTTTCATTTTATCCCACCCATGGTAGATGGTCGACAGACCTGGCAAAACAACAGGCCAATGGAGTATGGGGATGTTTTGTTGTCCAGTGAAGTCTGTGACAACATGTATGACGGGAGGGCGTGCATTTGCAGGTGAAGCAGACATGTATGCTTATCGTGTCGACGTGACGTTACGCGTGGACGTCCAGAAGGAAGTGACATTTGAGTGTTACGATGATCCCCGACACCCGCCCTTCAACTCGGTTTCGTGTAATTACAGGTTTAATAATTTCAACGTCTCATGTTCGGATATGAGTGGCATAACCTTTACGAGGTTTAGCCGTCAATAACGTTGTTTTTCACAGTCAAAATACTTAATGTGTGACGAATGTCTTATTCATTGGATTTTATTCAGGTACAATTTTAGGAATGTACCCTGAAGATGTTTATACCTACCTCACCATACCTCTGTGCGAACCTGAGGACAGATCCTGTGGAATAGCCATGAGGCATGGCCGACTTCCCTGATGAACCCCCAAGAAAAACGTCATCCGGATCCATCGACTGGTTGTATACCGTACACGCGCCATCTGTCGCAGTAAATAGAGAACCATAAGGCCGTCTGTATATTGTGTATATTTCTCAGTTCCCACAGGTTCTAATCTACTGTCCCGCTCAAAGGATATTCTATATCCGCCCATACGTCCGCCTCAATATATATCATCCAGCTATGGAACTATCAAAACATGCCCACTGCTTTCTTATCCCGCATTTGACATCTGTTTTAAGTATCAACACGCACATAGGAACCGTTGCACTCGTGCAATAACGATGCAGGGAGGTTATGAGTAGGTGTACTGTAAGAACTGTTCCAAATTCACTCTTGGGGTAAAGATTCAAAGTTTATTTTGTGTTTATTTTATTTCGTATTGTTTTTGACGGAGCATGCACTTGAGAAACATATAACATAACGTGGATAGTCGTAAATGCAAAGGACATAATTAGCTGGGAAAAGATGGTTCAGAATACAACAAGCTTCGAATTCTCACTGTCGACCACCAGTCAGTGACGATTGACAGTTCATGCGATATAGATGCCAAGTTGTGATGTATAGCGACCCAATAGGCGCTAACCTTATATTTGTACGTGGATGAACGTCGATATATGGTTAAACAGAGAGAGACAATACTTCGGCCATGCTCTTTTTTCAGATTCCATTGGAGGTAACGCCTTCCTACATAATCACAATGTTAAAATGCAGTGTGTGTGTGTGTGAGTATGGTTTTACGCCGCTTTTAGTAATATTCCAGCAATATCCCGGCGGAGGACACCAGAAATGGGCTTCACACGTTGTACCCATGTCGGGAATCGAACCCGGGTCTTCGGCGTGACGAGCAAACGCTTTAACCACTTGGCTACCCGACCGCCCCTGAAGTGCAATGTAAAACACTACACCAATTTACTCACCCAGAAGACGTGGACTTACTTATGATATGGTAGCTCTCGTTCGTGTTGTAGTTGAGGATAAAGTATTCAATGTTGTCCCCCAGGGTGACAGTCATCGCGGACACACCTTCCGAAATGGAGACGTATTCATCTGCCACCACAGTCTTAAACTGGTCAATGATGGCGCCTTCAATATGGACTTGGTATTCGGGGGGCATCACCTGAGGAAGCCTCGGATCTGGAGCAGAGTGAGTGATTGAGTACCGTAATGCGTGAGTGGGCGATTGAGTGGATGAGCGGTGGGTGGGCCTGTTAATAATTTGGCTTTAAAGTGTGTGAGTGAGTTTGTTATTTTATGGGTGTTAGTTTGACGTGGGACGAAATGTTCACCACATAAAACCCAGACTATAGTGAGTGACTTTGGTTTTACGCCGCTTTTAGAAATATTCCAGCAATATCACGGCGGGAGACACCAGAAATGGGCTTCACACATTGTACCCATGTCGGGAATCGAACCCGGGTCTTCAGCGTGACGGACGAACGCTTTAACCACAAGGCTACCCGACCGCCCCAGAACCCAGACTAGTACTTGCTCAAAATAACACCTGGTCCTCAATGAAAAAAAAAAAGAAACGTCTTCCTGTTGTCAAAATATTTGTTAAAGTAACTCTTACAATTCATTATATGACAATCAAATCCCTTAAATGAGTATCGTAAAATTATAATCAGCGATGTATACCAGGTCTTCGCGAAAAGGTGAGCGTATCCTGTCCTCGCTTCACAAACACATGCCATGGGCAGCCAAATGTTCATCTGAACAAAGACGGGAACATATGATCGAGTCACAATAATGAACTCCATCTGAACTCCTAGTGTCATCACTATTGGATAGCGAATGAGTATGGTTTTACACCGCTTTTAGCAATATTCCCGCAAATGACGGCGGGGGACACCAGAAATTGGCTTCACACATTGTACCCATGTCGGGAATGGAACCCGGGTCTTGAGCGTGACGAGCGAACGCTTTAACCACTAGGTTACCCGACCGCCCCACTATTTGATAGTGATTCATAGATATATCATATATGATATAGTCGGAGTGGTACAAAGGACTGCTTTCGGCAGAGATTTCTTAGAAAAGGGCGTGTCGCTTACATTTGAACGCTGTTACCCTGATCAGAAGTCTTTGAGCACGAAAAAAAGGTTGATATATTTAAAGAAACACATTATTTTAGCCCCTCTTCAAAATATTTCATAACCATTCGACTGACTCACTGTTTCAGTACTCAGTGATTCACTCACCGTTTGGTCCGACAGTGGCTTGTGGATCTGTTGAGCACATAGGACTTGGGTACTTAACTCCATCTCCTCGTGTCCGAACCACAAACAGCACCAGCAGCGCCCCGATCACAGCCTGAAACAACGCATCGAGCAGATTGCAACCACGAACATAATCAACGAAAATAACATGATATTACTTGCATGATGAATAGGAAATATATAGCATATCACCAAACGTATGTCATGTGTATTATATCAACATAGGTATGCAATATGAATTATATCAACATATGTATGCAATATGTATAAAATCAACATAGGTATGCAATATGCATTAAATCAACTCAGATATGGAATGGATATTATATCATCATAGGTGTGTAATATGAATTATATCAACACATGTATGCAATATGTATTAAACCAACAAAGGTATGCAATATGCATTAAATCCATACAGATATGCAAGGGATATTATATCAACATAGGTGTGTGTTATAGCATCACAGGTATGCAACCCGTATTAAATTAACACAGATATGCAATGGATATAACATATGTGTGTAATATGTATTATAGCATCATAGGTATGCAACCTGTATTAAATCAACACAGATATGCAATGGATATTATATCAACATAGGTGTGTTATATGTATTATAGCATCACAGGTATGCAACCTGTATTAAATCAACACAGATATGCAATGGATATTATATCAACATAGGTGTGTATTATGTATTATAGCATCACATGTATGTAATATGTATTAAATAAACACAGATATGCAATGGATATTACATCGACATAGGTGTGTAACAGGTAATGTATCAACATAGGTATGCAACATGTATTATATCAACATTGGCATCCATAGTATATTATATTAAAATATGTATGCAACATGTATAAATCAACATGAATATGCAATATGTTTTCTATCAACATAGGGATGCAATATGTATTATATCAACATAGGTGTGCAATATGTATCCTGTCAACATAGGTATGCAATTTGTATTAATTAACACAGATATGCAATGAATATTATATTAACATACGTGTGTAATATGTATTATGGCATCATAGGTATGCAATATGTGTTATTTCTACATAGTTATGCAATGTGTATTATACCAATAAAGGTATTATGCAATATGTGTTATATCATCATAGGTATGCAATATATTTTATATCAACATAGGTGTGCAATGGATATTATATCACCATAGGTATGCAATGTGTATTATATCAATATAGGTATGCAATATGTATCATATTTACAGAGGTAAGCAATGTGTCTTATATCAACATAGGTATGCAATATGTTTTATATCAACATAGGTGTGCATTGGGTATTATATCAACATAGGTATGGAGCATGTATTATATCAACATAGGTGTGTTTGTTATCAATACGCTTTCAGGACATTTCATTGTACATGTACTGTTTCAATAATAACGTAATGGTTTCAATGAGTCATGCTCATATCACGATGCACACCCTGAATGTACATTCGCGTTCCCACTTTACATGTTAGCCATTTCATAATATTTCGTCGATATAAATCCTAAATAAGGACCTTTGGTAGCAAAGGGCACTTTTGGTTAGGCTGGCTATGTTTGACTCACAATCAAGACTTTTGGAAACTAGGTAACTTACAATTATACAACAAGGGATCTAAATGAACGACTACTTTCATTCCAGTGACAATACTAGTAAATCGCCCATCGCAAAACGTTTGTTAATGACATTACAGTTTGTGTTCAGCATATATGGTGTGATAATAACGTTACGTCAGCTACAATAACGGCAAACAGACAGTATAGTCTTGTCGTGTGTACTGTGTCTATCGCTATTAGAACATACATGGATCGTTCTTCATTATATCAACATTGTGGTTATATTACGAGTGTAAACAGACCGTCAATGCATGTTTAAAGGTATTTGTGAGCTTCTTACCTTCATTATGAGAGTGGAGGGAGGGTCTCAGTCGGTGGCAGATGGGACAATGTCCACCTGATTAGAGGTGTGTTGTCCCGTGATAACAAGCATTGTGTAGAAGGGACCATACCGGCGGTGATAACACTACCACATTTTGCACAAGCTGCAGGTCTATCAGCTTCGGGGTTATCAGATCACGCTATACGGTGTTCAGTTGAGTTGAACGAGTCAGTCAGTAACTGGGTGGTGAATGCGCGAAGAACGGTTGAGTGACTGGCTGGATCGTTGAGAGAATGATTGAAGGAAATGCTGGTGAGAGATGAGTGATTGAGTGAGTGTGTAGGTGAATGGTAGATTGAATGATTGATTGAATATGCGGCTTTGTGTGTATCTGCATATGTGAGTGATTGAGTTGGTGAATAGTTGGATGGGTGAACGAACGAACAAACGCGTGAAAGAACGACAGAACGAATGAGAGAATGAAAAAACCGACGAATGAACATGTTCATATGCTGCTTTTATCATTATTTAAAACCCTGGTGTGACACCAGAAATGGGCTTCACATATTGTAACCAGGTGGGGAAGCGAATCTGCCTGCTTCGTGACTCACCTACACTTTAGCTACTATTACTTACTACTGTTAATGATTTAATGATTTCTCCATCGATCAGTTGATCGTGAGGATGCATAAGTAACAAGTGATTGCGTTGGTTGTTCACGGCCACTGATTTACCTTATTTACTCGATGTTTTTTTTGTTTAACGCAACACTCAGCAATATTCCACCTATATGACGGCGCTCTGTAAATAATCGAGTCTGGACCAGACAACCCAGTGATTGACATCATGATCATCGATCCACGCAATTGGGATACGATGACATGCATCAACCAAGTCAGCGAGCCTGCCCACCCGATCCCGTTAGTTAATGAATATATGCCCAGTTAACGATGAGGCAGGATACGGACTCAAATGTAAAAAAGGAATATTTTCAATGTTGTTTTGAGATATCGGGTATGTTCATATCATTTATTACGAACAGGGTTAGATATAATCGAGTTAATAAATATCGTATGGGCGCAAGTACAAATGTCCCTTACGCACTTGCGCGCCAATGTATTGTTTACGTCATCCGAACCGCATTGTTGACGTAGTACAGTTATATCACGGCGTGTCAGCTTAATGTGCGAGGTGGGCGCGAAGTGATGCAGGCCTCAGACGTTTACCACTTCGGCGAAACCCACGAGCACGGGTATGGTGCTGACAAACCTAGAAACATAATCGGGGCGAACCGGGATTCGAACTCACAATCATGGGTTTCTGGCGTGCCCAAGGGACGCAACTCTGCACAGCGAATCGCGGCGCCTTAGACGACTGGGCCACCCGTGTCCCCACATGTCGGATGAAGAACCATTAATTGACATCATGTACATCATGTATGTTAATGAGATTAAGGCGTGCTAACATAAATGCAAAGACACTATTAGAGACGTAAACTGAAACGTATTTCACTTCCATTTAGCAAATAAAAAATATTTTACTCCAGATAAAAAAAACACTTTAGGAACCTTCGACGTCGCCCTAACATTATTTACTATTCTGAAGAGCCGACTGTTCGTTATTCATCACATGTGTATCAGTGACAGTTGGTACAGGAAACTAGTCAATGTCTCATTAATGTTGCCACAACACCATATCAGTAGATAGGGCTTGTCCTGTATCGAAATGGTTGTTATCTGTCAGCATATATGTCTCACCGGCCTTCCCGTAGTCGACACCAGTCAGCATGCAAATCCTACAGGTACACTTGCTTTCATACTATCTTCTTCTTCTTCGAAAAAAAAAGATTGTTATTATCAGACACAGACGTTGGGTTAATTATTGTGGCAAGTGTTTCTTTAAAATTAAGCCGTTATGCATGTTCTCATTTTTGACCATTTCACGTTTGATACAGTATGCAGGGCAATTGTATTGACTGTGTCACTCGTATTGTTTACTTGAGCTATCCATTGTAGATATCAGACGTGGGTCAGACATTTTACCTGTGTGTCTGTCATCCCTCTACTGTCCGTCTGTCGTCATCCCACCCCTATATAGCTATGTCTGTCATCCAACTTCTTCTTTCAGTGCTTCTTCATATATAATAATAATAATAATAATAATAATAATAATAATAATAATAATAAGCTATTTATATTTCGCATATTTCCACCCCACTCAGTGGCATGCTCAAAGCGCTATTATTACCCCGTTCACTGGATCAGTGTGCACTCAAGAATCAGTCTCTGCTCCCTGGGGATCATACAACCCAAGCTGCCTCTTAAGCGCTAGAAGGTTAACAACCACATTGCCATCTCATCCTACCGGGTACCCATTCACTGCTGGGTGAACAGAGGCAAATTTCGAACAAAGTCACTTGCCCAAGGGGACGCCACGTGTGTTACATGTGCTTCCGTGTGAGGCAGGACCGAAGCCCTAGAAACTCTCAGGAGCCAAGCTGCCGAAACGCGATCACCCAACCAAGGACTCTCCCCGACCGACGCTGCCTATCTTCACCTGATTTGTGACCTGTGCCGTTCAGGTCGGTCTGCCATTCCTTGTGCCTGTCTGTATCTCATCCGTTTACTTGTCAATCTGTCACCCTTCTAATTCTTCCAGAATGATTTCTGTCTGTGGTTCACTCTGCTATATGTCCGATAGGCCTTTATCCCATACACCTGTCAGTCCTTCTGCTCATAAGTCTGTTAGTCCATCTTTCCTTCTTAGGTTCGTTCCGTCAGTCCTTTTATTTTCTTCTTAGGTTCCTTCCGTCAGTCCTTTTATTTCCTTCTTAGGTTCGTTCTGTCAGTCCTTTTATTTCCTTCTTAGGTTCGTTCTGTCAGTCCTTTTATTTCCCTCTTAGGATCGTTCTGTCAGTCCTTTTATTTCCTTATTAGGTTCGTTCTGTCCGTCCTTTTATTTCCTTCTTAGGTTCGTTCTGTCAGTCCTTTTATTTCCTTCTTAGGTTCGTTCTGTCAGTCCTTTTATTTCCTTCTTAGGTTTGTTCTGTCAGTCCTTTTATTTCCTTCTTAGGTTCGTTCTGTAAGTCCTTTTACATGTCTTCCTGTCACCCTTCAACCTCTTTCAGAGCTTCTTTCTGTTTGTGATTCATTCATTCCTTTATCTATGTGCCTGTCAACCCATCTTTCCTTCTTACTTTCTCTTTGTCAGTCAATCTACCTGTACGTGTGTTTGTCAATCCTCCCCACGTCTTTCAACACGCTAAGTGTGTCAATCCATCTACCTCCATCTAATCTTAAATGTATGTATGTATGTATGTATGTATGTATGTATGTATGTATGTATGTATGTATGTATGTATGTATGTAACATTTTAATTACACACGCACACACAAACATTTATATACATACAAACATAAACATAAACATATATATATATATATTTTAGCCGTTACCTATTTCAGGCTCTCCTCGTGGCTTGTGTTGTGTTATTTGGGGTTCAAGTGCAAGGGCAACAACTCCCGATTCCAATGTGTGCGACAAATCCACACGTGACTGTCGGCCCAGATGGTGAGTATCGTATCAACAGTACTCTCAGTAGTGTATATTTTCTTCAATGTATATACACTTGAACATAACTCTATGTTGGCTAGAAAGGTAGACACACTTTCAAAGTGATGGTTAACAAAAGCAATATCTGTACATTTCTGCAACACACCCTTTTAGTTATAAACAATAAAGCATGATAACTTAAAATCAACCCGCCCTATTGCTTCAAAACAGAAAGGCCATTACAGATACTGATATGCATATCAAGTGAAATACACTACTCAAAAGGAGCTAAAGGTTTAACGTCGCGTCCAAGATTATTGCACTTATATAGCGGCGTGCATGTACGTGTGTGTGTTTGTGTGGCTGCTTGTACTAGGCCGGACTGATGCCGATTTATAGTGCTAGCTCACTGAGATACCATGCCGCAGCTTAACATGAATATCCAAATCAGACACGAAACCCACGAGCACGGGTATGATGCTGACAAACCTAGAAACATAATCGGGGCGAAGCGGGATTCGAACCCACAATCATAGGTTTTTGGCATGCACAAGGGACGCAACTCTCACAGCTAATCGCGGCGCCTTAGACGACTGGGCTACCCGTGCCTCCTACATATTACGAAGGACATTACTCACATCTACATTCATTACAACTCTACGTAGCCGACTGTTCGTCTTATCCGACTTCGCCTTATCCGAATCAATACAGACAAGATGTGGCGCCACTGATGGTTTTAGTGTAACGTTGTTTCACGTCTTTATGATACAGATCCAAGACTACCAATGCTGCCCTTGCAGTATGAAGTCCACGTCGAAGGCGCAATCATTGACCAGTCGATGACTGTGACGGCCGATGAGTATGTATCGGTCATCTTTGGAGCATCGTCTCTGAAGACCACGCAAGGTGGGAATAGCGAAATCGTTATTCTTAACATCAACACAAACGAGAGTTACCACATTTTTGGTGAGTAGGCTCCCGGTACTGAATTAATCGACAGCGAAACTGTGTTCTCGTGAAATTCGTTATATATCGTTATTGTTAAATCATGAACAAAACCTCGAAAGGTCGAACACCTGCAAACAAATTTGATATATCGGTCAAGACTTTATGGTCCCAATAAAATCGTAATTATCTTAAAGTTGAGATAACATGAAATATCTGATCAACAGGATTTAATGAATTCAATCATCCTGTCTTTATTGTATCATTGTCAGCAAAGTTTTAGTGATATTTAAAGTTAGTAAGTGAGGTTAATTTAATGCTACATCGAACAGCAGTTATAGTGAGTGAGTGAGTATGGTTTTACGCCGCTCTTAGCAATATTCCAGCAATGTCACGGGGGGGGGGGGGGGGGACACCAGAAATGGTTCTCACACGTTGTACCCATGTCGGGAATCGAACCCGGGTCTTCTGCGTGACGAGCGAACGCTTTAACCACTAGGCTACCCGACCGCCCCAGCAGTTATATCAAAACGTGTCAGTTTGAGGTGGGAGGTATATAACCTTGTTGGATCCCCCGAGCACGGGCATGGTGTTGACAAACACGGAAACATAAGGACTAGGCTTATGATATAGTCGGAATCGTACAATCGACTGCTTTATGCAGAGATTTGTATTGGAAATGGAAAGGGTTATGTCGCTTTATTTTCGCTTTACGTACGTGACATATTTCCAGACCTTCAAGTTTTCATCTCACGTGTTTAAACTGAGGGACAAAAGAAAGTTCAAAGAGGTTTTTTTCATGCCACTGAAAATTGAAGGAACTGTTTTTTATTTAACCATCACACATTTTTGCAACTGTTTATAAAATGTATTTTGTGGCTGAGTAATATTGTGCAAAAATAATCTGGTTCAATGAAGACTTGGCTAAGAAATGAATTGACCCCAATCATGTTCAAATATTATCGATACAAAAAGTAAATGTGTTGATTTTTCAAATTGTCTTGCAACATCACGTTGACTCGATCCTGCTTCAAGCATACCAATGGCGCTCATTTTCGGACAGGCGTGGCATTTCGTAATATAAGGGTAACGCTGTTTTCCGTGGCATTATCATTTGCAGGAGCCCGAGGTCTTCGATTAACTGCCCGACGAAGGAGGCCAGTTGAAAAGACCGAGGGCTCCTGCAAATGATAATGCCCTGAAAAATAGCGTTACCGTTATTATAGCTAAATGGATGGAATTTGTTATCAAATACAAAGAAACAACAATATATCGGTTTTGAAACATTTACTGCAATCAACACGAATGTCACTGATCCACTTTTACAAATATGGAAACGTCATAGAACAAACCAGATGACGTCACTATTGAATGTGACGTCACCAATCCCTATCCTATGACGTCACCTAACAACGGACGTGATATTGGCCCGTCGTTACGCAATATGAGGGCATTATCAAGTTACAGTGGCCCGCTCATTTCTGAAAACTTGCGGGCGGTTTAATGATAATTCTATCCATTTTAGCTAAAATGTTGAATAATTGCGTTATTTTGTTGTTTTTCTGAGTGGTTGTTGTCAGCACGATGCTAAACAATGCATATGGAATCCCGTTAACTCACATGTTTTTATACCCATTCTTGGGTAGTGAAATGCACGGGGCTTGCATAAAAGTCAACTTTTGCATGGAATGCGTGCTTTGCTGTAGCAGTTGCGTTTTTGTGACTTGATTCCATACATGTACTACAATATTGAAAACCAAACTTTACTTGTTTGAAAAAAAAGCAGAATTATTGGTATCACAGGAACTTTTGTTGTTGAGTATATTCTTATTGGAAGAGATGACTAAATTGGTCGCATGATGAGACTTGGTGACTTGGTTGACAGTGTGCCATCATAGTACCCTTTTGCATGGATCATACAGCAGGAATATTACTTATTTTCATATACCCCGAGCGTCGATCATCATATTGGCATCCAAACAGAAGGCAAGTCCCTCTTTTTAGTTACAAGTTCTTGGTCGTGATTTAACAGTTGTGTTTCTTATATCACAGATTCAGAGTGCACCGTGTATAACCAGTCGACAGACGTAGTGGATGTTTTGGTAGGAGGGGCGTCAGGCGTGTCGTCAATGCCACATACATACTCAACAGCGTCTGTACTCAAGTTCGCCCAGAAATACGGCGAGGTCTGTATCTTATGTAAATGAAGAACTCAATCAGCCTGCCCCGTGGGGCCAAGGTCCCCAGAACCTGATCCTTGTTAGCAGCAAAGGCGCTGCCCACCTCCAAAACATAAATGGCATATGGACAAGAAGGAAATATGATAATAATGAAACACGAATCAAGACGCCGAGTTCCATATGTCAGTTGATTTTCTTGGTGTCATCTGCTTTGATATTATATGATGTTATTCATATACACTATACATATTTAGAGATGTTGTTCTAATAGATAACACAAGCTATACTTCATGGTGTTAGCACTTACGTTGATGTCACACCTTATTCACTGGCACTTACGTTTAAACGCAGAACTCGCTTTCCCTGGTGTTATCAATTTTGTTGGGTGATCATGTAATTTTCATCGCTATTTTGCCATTTACGCCCTCTGGAATGTGTTTCGACAGATGTTCTAGACTTATTTTTTTGTTGGGTTGACATTTTGATTTTCTGTTACTGAGGACTGTTTAAACAAAAGGGGGTTCGATGGCTGAGTGAGCTGGCACTAGAGTTGTGGCCCTCGGATACCAGAATCGATTATGAGCGTGTGCCCTCACTGTGCTACAAAACTTGTACACAAGCCCCTAAACGTTACACCCCAATTTGAATTACCAGAGTTTGTAGACTGAATTGAAAACATTACACTAACTTAGACCAATCGTTGTGCAGAGTTGCCTCCCTTGTCTGTGCCAGAATCCCATAAATACAAATCCTCGAAACGCCATCATTAGGATCCTTGGTCCGTCAGATCAATACCCCTTCTCGTGGGTTTCACGACAGCCTTATGCATCTACGACCAGCATCCCATTGAGCTCTCCTCCCACATTAGACTGACACGCCGTCACATGCAACACTGCTGAACTCACTTTCTTCCAGGTATATAAGGGCAAGTCTACTGTCCGGGGCATTCAGTGTGACCACTGGCAGTCGTGCATGTACTGGGGATTCCTTGGCGTCAACTTCACCCTCGACTACTACTTCTCTGGCAAGTTTATGTGTACTAACATGCAAGGGTGCTTTTGTAACACAATATTTCATTTACACTGTGTAAGGAAACAATATACTCCTCACCTCCACACCGGGGTGAAACCATTAGATCTTAGTAGTCGAATCTACTCAGAACCACACACACACACACACACACACACACACACACACACACACACACACACACACACACACACACACACACACACACACATTAAACATATTAGACTTCAATAACCGACATGAATCTGGATAAAACAAAGGCTCTCGAGGACAACACAAAATTACCAATGACATGTTCATCAAATCATTACACATATGGAAGTAGAAGGAATGGCTATAGTAGTGTTATGATGACCAGTACGTTCAGTACAAGAAACATTCACACAATGGATACATGAAGGTCTATTTTCGCAAAGAGGTCGTAGTGAACAAATACCGATGATGTGAGATATGTGTCGTCTCGGCTCAAAGGTTACTCCTCGCTGGTGAGTCAGTGAATGTCCTCATCATGATTTATTCCAGTTCCCAACTGGAACACAGCTGGTGGTTCTCCTCAGGTCCCGGTCAGGGCTGAAGTCGTCGGCTACCAAAATTTGGCGGGCCCCGGACCAGGATCCAGCTTTCATCACATATATGACTACACTGGCTACAAGAGCTATCTCACTGACATTACAGTGTTTCAGGTAAGTTGTTTCGTAAAAGAAACTAAAGGGAAACGATTATGATAACTGATCGATCGACCCGAGCTTGCAACGAAGACAACAGAACACCCAACCACCCATTCTGATTTCTAAGCATGACCCGATGTCGACCGCACGAATATACCCCATTTGCGTGTGTTCATAAGACATTTGTCCTCTCTCCATCATCAGTTTGAAAAATGCGAATGGAAACATTTAATTATATCACGCATCCATGTGTCTGTCAATACCGGGTTGTGCAATACTTGATCTGTACGTCGTTATTTTAGACGCCAGTAGGCGTGGCTTGTGAAGGTCGTCGTCAGACACGTCGCATGCCGCAGTTGAAGCCGCAGTATCGGTACAGACAGGAGGTAACTCACCTCAGCGGACAGATGGTTTACCAGGAAGACGTAAGTTGACAGTTGGTTGGTCACTTCTAAACAACGCTTTCAAGACATCCATCATGGAATTGAGTGAAAGCGTACAAATTAAATGTCCAAATGACTGATAATGAGAAATCATGGTCACTGTAGACTGGTCGATTTTCATGAAGCAAACTAACTATAAACAATTCCGGGACTCAAGATGAAATATCTTAAATAGCAAACGCGGAATAGAATAATCTGTCTCGATTATCTGCCCGAACAAATTTCATTGGGCAGAAAAGGCGAAAACAGCGATAGAAAATATTTGAATGATGCACTGAAAATCAGTGATGACACCAAGTGTTTGCGAAAAGGGTAAACATGTCCTGCCTTACAGGAAACAAAAAAAGCCTGGGTCATTCAATTGCTAATAAGCTGAAGGACATAGGAAACGTCACCTCAAATATTTGTTCAATATGTTTTCAACCAATGTCAAAATACCTTTTACTATAGATTGAAACGTATCGCCTAAACGCATCTTATTCATTCCTATAACAGACATGCGCAAAATGCACGTGCTCGGAAAAAGGCATATAACCCTTGGATTAATACCCGTATGCAAATCTGGTTTTAAAACGGATGCGAAAATGTTCTTTGGCATTGGCACATTCAGTTGTCAAAAGTGGTCATGCCGCGATTAATATTAGAAAAGATCGGGACGACATGCGCTTGGTCATCCCGTCAACAAAAAGACTATGTCCAGACGACATCGTCACTATGAGAGCCAACCGACCGTTCAAGGGCATGACGTTAACGCGTGAACACCGACGTCAGAGAATTAGGCGGGCGAGGAATGTCGAGCGATGGCTGCAGAGCAATTGGCGCAGAGTACTGTGTGGCGACGGGAGCAGGTTCCAACTCGTCAAAGTAGATGGCATGATGCGTATTTATCGGCGGCCAGGACTGGACTGAACCACACGATGTTGGCAGTGTGATGGTCTGGGTTGGGATTTGTGGAGACATGAAGACGCTACACGCTTACCGCTACACGCTACGTCAATGAAGTGATAACGCCAGCTATGCGCCATTTCTTCAACGTTACCCGCAAACGTTATTTCAGCAAGATAACGCCATACAGCCCACAGTGCCAGATTACGTTTCAACGCCAACAACGTGAACTCTTCCTTGGCCGGCAAGATGTCTTGAAATGTCTCTAATAGAGCAATCTGTGGGGCCACCAGGCACGACCGAATTGGCAACGTCAGCCACGTCCAGAGACAAGAGTGGCGTTAGCGCTGGCATTGCAGGCAGAATGGCATCTGATTCTTGTGCACGCCTTTGGGCGACTGACTGTCTCTACTCGGCGCCGTGTCAGATTGACTTCATAGTTGCTTTTTCGACCATTTTGAAAGTGACGGCTCATTTTTATTGGTGATCGAATATTGGACAGTTAACCTTCTTCGCAAAACATGTCGATAAAATGAAGTTATTCAGCTAGATTTGTCAGTGTTTATCCAAAAATATTGTAAAATTACCCTGTTTTAAAATACAAAAATCACTGTTAAAGAAAACTAGTATAACTTTGTTATTTATCTTATGTCCTTGAGTTTATATGAAGCACACATCTCTGAAAAACTCGAAACCGGGCTTTCCACACAAATCAGTCGCCCCTTTTGAATCATTGTTATTATTGTTCTAGTCCAAAACTTTAAAATTGTCAAAAATGAAACATTACTGGCTGTGATACATGCCCCCTTTCAATGAAATGTTAAACTACCTTCGAAATATGTTTCCAGTTCAAGTGGGCTAAATAAGATCCGATATGCGCCGTGTCCTTTCACAAACATGTTTTTAATCGAATTCAGGAAGCTACTGGAACCTTACATCGTGAAGACCAGTGTTTTAAAATAGTTGCAATCTTGTTTTCAGTTCGTTTGTAAACACGAAATATCGCCGATAATAATGAAGAAAACTGATACTGGCTATTTTACAATGTTTGAGAGCAGTATATACAAAGCAGTAAAAATTATAACATACCGGGTTGTGTGTGATAGGTCTGGTATGACTACAACCTCCAACTCGTCCGTTGGGACCACCGACCAACACACAAAAACAACCATTACAACACCCTTGACGCCATCACAGAGATTCACGACTTCAACACAGGTATGGTTATCAGAGAGAGAGAGAGAGTGAGAGAGAGAGAGAGAGAGAGAGAGAGAGAGAGAGAGAGAGAGAGAGAGAGAGAGAGGTACAAATAAAGGTGGTAAATGGTACAATGAGCACCGTGCTGTTGACCGATTGACCTCAGACATTCTGGATATCCCCCATATTAATAATGATTAGAGACGCCTTAATATACCCGAATTCATTTCAAAGTATTCAAAGTATTCCCCCACTCCCTTAAGCTCTAGAATGTTGAAATCCTAAAATCAGTATAATCTACACATGTTGTAACTGCTCGGCAAAAAACTAATGCTAGTGTAAATAGAATACAAAGATAACGCTTATATTTCAGGACTGGCTTATATCATTTACAAAGACTTCCCGCGCTGCAACTTCTATCACATACAGAATGATACCTGGGATGCAGCTCCAGATGCGTCCACGTCATCACTGAGACTGAAGCCGCCAGAGGGGATGTTCAGCTTGGATTCATCCTATGCTTATTCAGGACAGGTAAGCTTTTCCTAAAACAGCTCCACCTATCTTTCAGTCCTGATCTTAAGGACCTCTTCTTCAAACACGCATCCAGGAGCACGGTTGGATCAATCGTCTAAGGCGCCGCAATTCCCTCTGTGGATTTGAGTCCCTTGGGCACGCCAGAAACCTATGATTGTGGGTTCGGATCCTGGTTCCCCCGATTACGTTTCTAGGTTTGTCAGCACCACATCCGTTTCACCAGAGTCCTGAATCACTTCGGGCTTTCCTCACACATTAAGGTGACACGCCGTGATATAACTAGAATACTGTTATAATCGGTGTTACACGCAACTCACTCACTCTAAGTTTGTCAGCACTATACCTGTGCTGGGTTTAAACCAAAGTTGTTAACGTCTGAAATCTGCATTACTGGAGCATTAAGCTACATGCATTGAGTTGATACACTGTCCGGTTGATACACTCCGGTTGCTCTCGCTCAAACATGCACTCTCAGTGACTCCAATGACATGCAAATCCTTATATCATCTTTCATCACCCCCATTCGTCTGTAGTTCTCTCTGTGCCGATCTTCTTCTCTCTCGCTCTCTCTGTCTCTCTGTAAATACAATACAGCGTCTGTCCGGAGAGCGGAATTTCCGTGTGCGATGCCCTGGTCGCGACATAACAAGAGACGTTAAACATGGGACTTATTACTCTGCCTAGTGCTTGGCATATAGGGGTTAAAACAAGGACTGGTCGGCTTGGAGTGTACTTTGTATGAGGGGGTATCCTTGGGGGCTTCGAATCTCATTGGGTTAGCACTATAACATCGGACAAGAATAAGCAGCAAAACGAACACGTGACAATACAATTTAAATACCACTGCCTTTTTCTCTCTGTGTGTGTCCCCCTGTGTCTGTCTGCCTCTCTCCCTCGTTATCACTCTCCCCCACCCTCAACCCCCGTTTTGTTGATCTTTGAATGTCGTTCCCCATCTCAACTTCTCGTACATATTCCAAAATACCGGAGCTACAACTTAAAACATTTATTCATAAAATTGTTCGTCATTAACACTAGAGCAGGACAATGTTAAAATAGTGAAAGCCATCTTTGATTAACACTTTATTAGAATAAAGTAATATGAAACAACAGCTGCTACATTTGCCCCATGGCCATTATTCCACTCCGTGAGCAGCGAACAGTCCGGGGAATCGCGTGTGACGTGTACTCAGCAGTCAGGACGGACTACGGGAGTCTCCGGGGCCTTAACGTCACATTTGAGATCTACTTCATGAGCGTGAGTTGCCAAACATTTCACAACTGATCTACCGAAACAAGATACTTATTAAAATTCCTATAACATATCAATCTTTTACAGCATTTTCACAATAATTGTTCTTTTGGTACATTCCTCATTCATATATTTCGTTATGCATCAAACTTGCTCTCTTTACCCTCTGTGATATTCAATTCAATAGTTTTACCATATTATCGAAACCCTACTCAACATTTGTGATATTTTCAGCATGACTGGCATAGTGCGAATGACATTGGGAATGACCCGGACAGCACTGATACGCCTGTTAGACTGGACATATCGGAACCTACGGTAAGCTAACCTTATGTTGCTGACCATGTTACGAACGTGGAGCTCGTTGCAAAATGTGCATATAACAGCATGACGCCTAGGATACATGGCTTGTCTTCCCAAACAACATTATTGTTTATCTCACCGAGTGGCCCGAAAAACAGAAACTATTTAAGTTGATGTAAATTTTGAAAGGCTACGAGATGTTACGAACATATTTTTTACCAAGGTTGACAAAAAGCAATATTTATTTCAAACCTCAGCTTGTTGTCGCTGTTCTCTCGAACCGACAACGTTGCGTTGATGTGAACGTAACGATCGACAACGTTGCAGGAACTCCGACTTATCCTTCCTCATATTAAGAAATGCCATTCCCTGGCATTTCGTCAACATTAATGGCCTCAATGAGGAAAGGGTGTCTGGCCTTCGTCAGTGCACAAGATGCACTGCGACTGACATGAACTAATATCTTAATACTCGTATCAGTTACCGGAACATCAAAGTAGTCTCATACAAAACCGACGCTCAAGAATCTGCATTGTTGCCAATAGATGCTAGGATCCGGTTAAAGACCCTATACTTCACACACAAATGTCAGTATGGTCTTGCACCGCCATACCGAACTGAACTTCTCTGAAATTCAGAACATTTTGTGTCTCTCGGACAAAGCTGAAATAGTTTGGTCTAATATCTTTTAGTGTTGCGGCGTCAACATTGTTGTAACAGACTACTGAAATTACAGATATATAATAAATAATCGAGTCTGGATCAGACAATCCAGTGATCGACATCATGAACTTCAATCCAAATTTACTTGACGGTGCTGAAACATATGGATTAAAACGATCGAATGTTATCGGAAAGGTTTGCTTGTGAGCATGTGAGAGATCTCTAGGTGTAAAAACCATCACAATAGTTGATGGCGAATTTAGTAGATTTCCTCTATTTATATATTCACAGCTAAAAGTAGTAGTACTGACTGAAACGCCTTAACATGAATTCATAGAAATGTTACAATATGATGATATCGATGTTATACGAAGTGGTAAACGTCTGAGACCTGCATCACTTCGGGCGTTCCTCCCACATTAAGCTGACACGTCGCGATAAAACTGGAATACTGTTAAAAGCGGCGTTAAACCCAACTCACTCACTCTTCAATTAGGTGCAACGATGTATAAAAATACATCACAGCCATAAATGGTTATCCCAAAACTGTGCAACAAGTGTTGTTATTTTTGTGGTAAAATTCACGATGAGGTAGTCTAACGGTTAAAGCATTCGCTCGTCACTCCGAATGTCTTGGTTCGATTCCCCATACGAGTACATCTTGGTGAAATCTATTTCCCTTGCCATGCTGTTGTTTAAATATTGCTAAGATAGGCGCAAAGAATTCATGTAAATTACATGTTAGATAGGCATTCTAGATGTTGCTGTGACGTTACATCCGGTGTCAAGCCGTTATCCAGAGGTTGCTATTTATTCTATGTTTTCATAACTGCGTAAATTGGTCGATTTTTCGGGATCTCCTCACTTTGCCAATACCTATTGTTTCCAGTATGAAAATCAGCCAGGCATGCTAATTGGTGAAACAATAGAAGGCACCAGGGGTCATCTCAAAATTTTGATATATGATATGCACAAAATTTGTATTATTTTATTCTATATAGCACTTCATATCATAGCATTAAATAACATTACATTTAGCATTTTGATACATTCATACACATATTTACAGTGTATTTCATTATTTCATTATTTTATTCTATATAGCACTTCATAGCATTAAATAACATTACATTTAGCATTTTGATACATTCATACATATATTTACAGTGTATTTTATTATTTTATTCTATATAGCACTTCATAGCATTAAATAACATGATTACATTTGGCATTTTGATACATACATTCACATATTTACAGTGTATTTCATTATTTTATTAATACTTACTTACTCAATTACTTTGGAGATTTAACGTGCGCTTTCCGACTCATGCGTATTTCGCACACGGGCCAGGCCAGGCCATTTTATGTGTTTCAGAAATTTATTAATGAAAGTCCTTTTCTTATACAAACTGAACGTTGATCGTTAATCAGTAATTAATAAACAAATAAGAAAATTCGCTTACCAATATTGCCAGTGAACACTTTTGACATTAATTTGAGGGGGTGAACTCAGTTCAGTATTTGGTGACTTTGATATGGCCCCCATGCTTGTATAAACATAGCCACTGTTAATCCCTGGTGGCCTGGTGGCAAAGTGAGGATAAACCGATATTTCATGGATAAATGAGTTGATTATTAGACAGACTTTATGAAACGGACTCACTTTGCAGTTAAATCTGGAAGTACAAATTACTATGGCAAAAGGAAGTATGTTTTCCTATGACTGAAGGAGGATATGTTTTAATTTTACAGACTAGTTTTGGAATCATCTACGATTATTACGACTTCGACCAAACACATCCAGATGTTATCAACGCCTTCGACATCACAACATGCTACAAGGACGCTCCAGGAATAGACTTTCAGATTACGTTCCCAGGTAGTCCATCATATTCAGAATGTTAACAAGTGAATTATATCATACGAATGCTGAACAAATCCTTGAAAAAAACTCCTTGGTATGACGGGTTAAAACTGGTCCCCAGTTTGACGTAAAGGCGACAAAATGGATCGGGTGGTCAGGCTCGGTGACTATGAGATCGTACCCCGTTGGCCGTGGACGTTGATCATAATATTAATCACTTGTTTGTCAAGCCCAGACGCGAATATTTACAGGCCGCCTCAATGTAGAGGACATAAACATAGGTGCGGCGTTAAACAACCGATCAACCCTCCATGGGCACCACTGTTTCCCCTAATGAAATTAATTAAGCGCGTAAACGATTTCTGTAATCATATAAAAATCTCTACCCCGTTTTACTGAAAACTCCTAATCAGGAATTTCGCCTTCTGGACTATTCTGTTGAAAACGGGTAGATACAATAATCCTCAGCATATATTTATCAGTACGGACATTTACTAATCCGGAATCTCGCCTTCTGGACAATTCTGTTGAAAACGGGTAGATACAATAATCCTCAGCATATATTTATCAATACGGACATCTACTAATCCGAAAACCTCGCCTTTCGACACCTTATGCCGGTAACGTGTACATACGTAATCCCTTATCATTCATTCTTTTATCCGGACAACTGATAATCCGTGTGACGTGCCTGAAGCGCCTGAAAATCACAGAAACTGATCAGTAGATAACCATGAAAAATGTTTGGCTGGATTTTTGTTTGCTATTTCAGGTAATCCAATTTCTATTCTGCCGCAACAAGAAACAGTCCTACACGATGTGGGAAGGGTGAGCATCGCCAGTGCAGCCCGACTGACCCCACTACGTATTCAGAACCTGGAAGTCCACTGGGGTGAAAACGACACGTACTTGATCGGTACATTACTGGATCAGGCGCCTCTAACAGGTGAGACGAGTGAGTGAGTTGGTAACAACGCCGCTTTGAACCAAGTGTGGGTTTTATCGGTTTGAGGAAAGCCCACTGTAGTTCATTTTGAGTTTGACCATTTGGGTGAAACCCACAAGCATGGGTATAAAACTGACAGACCAAGGATCAAATCATGTTTATAACCCATGACCAGAGGATCCTGGAATGGCAAAGGGGCGCAACTCTTCATAGCGGTGCCTTTGCATCTGTGCGACCATGCCTTGTATAAAGTCTCTATGGACATGCGTGTTAAGAAAACCATGTTTTTAATTTGTTCCACAGCTGACTCATCATCGAGGATCACAGTTTCCTGAAACAACTAATCCGCTAACGTTCTGGATATTCCAGTGTTCATTGAAACCCCCAGGACACGACATTTGATGCAAATATCTCCACTAAATAACGTGTACCCATCCTTGCACAGAGTTATCCCTGAAACGGCGCTTTGTTTCATCGTTTATCACGCTCTGTATCTCCATGATAATATAGGTTTCCGCCATGTTCCGTAACAATAATGTTGCCACAATTGAAACTGAATCCATTTTGTTTTCCATGTTTAGTACGCGTGGAACCTCAAATCCATTGTTTGTGTTTTGTTAGCCGGCGCTGGCCACGAGGTTGGCAGGGGTCAGGCTTACAGGGCGCTGGCGAATGCAGTGACAAGTGGTCAAGTGGGCATTGTTGTCCCCCACGGAAACACGGTATGGGCACTACATTTTTGTCCAGGAGTCATTCCAGGGACCCTTCCACAAAGCGATCGTAGCGCAAAGACAGTCGTAAGTCTATGGTCCCGTATGGGAATTAAAATCCCCCTAGGGCTACGATAGTTTGTGGAACGGGTCCTTGGTATTGTGAGGGATACCGCGGAGTGTGTTAGACTGGCTGAATCGAGTGAATGAATAAGTTGTTGACGTGTGTGAGTTGATTTTGATTGGAAAAGTGTTTCAGTTTTCCATGTTAATATGATGTGACAGACGTTTACAACTTTGGTGAAACCCATGAGCGGGGAGGGGGTGGGGCAGATACAGGGCCATATTCGGGTGGGTCCTGGTTTCTAAACAACGACCATAGGGGTCTCGAAACTGGAGGCTTCAAAGTGAAAGCTGTGAGACAGACATGGTCTGTATTTAATCAGTATGAATATAGAATATCGGTATGACTGATCCAAGGATACCGGGCATCAACTTTACCTGCAACAACCTACAAAATCATGGGGCACTGTTGGCCCAGTGGTCTAAGACGCCGGAAGTCGTTTTTCAGAAGTTTGTTCCTAGAAACCTATGGTCGTGAGTTCGAATCCCAGATTCTCCCTGTCGTGTCTTGGCTCGTCAGCAGCCGTACTCCTGGGTTTTATTGTAGTAAAAATATACGACCTGCATCACTTCGTACGTTTCCCCGCATCAAACTGACCTGTCGTCTTATAACTGAAATCCTCACTCGCTCATAAATTCAGAATTCCATCATATGTTTCAGAGCACTGTACTTAACGCCACTGGGATCACAACCGACATCTGGAGGCAAGGGTCATCAGGATCGCAATATTCATCAAAATGTTAGGATCAATCAATGCAATATAAAATATCATTGATAAAACTGCAGATTTTTTAAATAGAAAAGTAATATAATCTTGAATCTTGGTAAAATAGGGATAAATACATGATGTGAAACCAATTTAGTTTCTTGCATTATGAAACAATGGGAAACCAAACTTAATTCTTGATATTTATATTAAACAAATTAGAACAGCAGTTTTTTACGTGGCCCGAACTGGCTGAAGAAGCAACAGCGTTGACAAAACTAGGCCAAATGTACGGTCCTAGATTTCCTACCTCCATTCTGGATACCGTGAGGAATGTTTCGGAAAAGGGACCATGTTATAATCTACATATTTGTGTCTCATAAAGTTTAATATATGCTTATTTGCAGTATCAGTCTTGCATCACTTCACGTTTTCTGCAAATCGTGCGTTACCCAGAGGAGATGGTAATACGATCCTTACCGGACTGTCATTGGAAGACTGCGCAAGTCAGTGTCTAGCCCATTTAATCTTCTCGTGCCAGACATTCCAGTACCAACCAAGCAGTGGCAAGTGTTCCCTGGCCTCTGAACTCCCTGACACCAGTCATGCAGTTACCCACACCGAGGCATCTCATGTCTACACACGTAAGTCTCATGCTCATAAAATAGTTACATTCTTTGCTGAATGTGGGTCAGACAATATTGTCCCCTTAAACGTTTGAGGTCGTGACGAGGATCCTTCCAGGTATCGTTCTCAAGTAAGTGAGTGAGTGAATATGGTTTTACGCCGCTTTCCAGCAATATCACGGCGGGGGATACCAGAAATTGACTTCACTCATTGTACCGTGTCGAAAATCGAACCCGGGTTTTCGGCGTGACGATCGAACCCTTAAACTACAAGGCTACCCGCCCGCCCCTCAACATTTAAAAAAAAGTTACACCTATATTGTTTGGTGAGAGTGTCGAACTCATCATCAGTGAAAACTGAGATACATTTTATTGTCGAATGTAGGTATGATTCTCAACATCAGTGAAAACTGAGACACAAGTGTATTGCCGAGTGAAGGTATGATTCTCAACATCAGTGAAAACTGAGACACGAGTGTATTGTCGAGTGAAGGTATGATTCTCAACATCAGTGGAAACTGAGACACGAGTGTATTGCCGAGTGTAGGTATGATTCTCAACATCAGTGAAAACTGAGACACAAGTGTATTGCCGAGTGAAGGTATGATTCTCAACATCTGTGAAAACTGAGACACGTGTGTATTGCCGAGTGAAGGTATGATTCTCAACATCAGTGAAAACTGAGACACGAGTGTATTGCCGAGTGAAGGTATGATTCTCAACATCAGTGGAAACTGAGACACAAGTGTATTGCCGAGTGAAGGTATGATTCTCAACATCAGTGAAAACTGAGACACGAGTGTATTGCCGAGTGAAGGTATCATTCTCAACATCACTGGAAACTGAGACACAAGTGTATTGCCGAGTGAAGGTATGATTCTCAACATCAGTGAAAACTGAGACACGTGTGTATTGCCGAGTGAAGGTATCATTCTCAACATCAGTGAAAACTGGGACACGAGTGTATTGCCGAGTGAAGGTATGATTCTCAACATCAGTGAAAACTGAGACACAAGTGTATTGCCGAGTGAAGGTATGATTCTCAACATCAGTGAAAACTGAGACACAAGTGTATTGCCGAGTGAAGGTATGATTCTCAAATGCCGAAAAAAAAAAATATGTTTCAGGTATGAATTGAAAAATAAAATCTTTTCCTCTTCCCTGGTATTCCGAATGCAAAACAAAACCTCCTGGAAACATTTGATTAAAACCAATGTTTTAAATGTTAGTTTTTGTTGCAATTTTCTTCTTTGTTAAGTTTTTTTAGACATAGATTTTATGCTCCAGTTGAGGTTTGGATTGAAATTGTTTGTCCAGTTATCTTTACTAATGTGTATCGATCGACCAATGCATATCTCAACCAGTATCTATATCTGTACCAGCATGCATCTCTAGTAATGTGTATATCTACCAATGTGTATCCCTATCAGAGTGTATATCTCCTGATGTCTATATTTTCCAGTATAACATATAAATGACTGTATATTTCTTTGTCAACACGGGATGACGGTCCATGTGTTTCAGGGGATTATACCCTTGGATTCAGCGCCCTCTACAACACCTACATTGGGAACAAATCCTTCTCCGAGACACATCCTAACATTCCAACGGTCAACTCCTGTGCACAACTTTGTATACGAGCGTCGATGACAATACCATGTACATCTTTTAATTACGCTCAGAAATACGGCACGTGCATCCTCGAGTCACATGATCGCAACGACGTCTCCCCCTCCGATATTGTTTCAAGCACAGTGTGGGACAACTATTTGCGTACGTACAACCCATCACTGCCAGGAAAACGTGTGCTTTTCTGGTCCTCAATGCTGTTCATCCTGAAAGTCCCGCTGACACACACACACACCCTCTCTCTCTCTCACACACACACACTCTCTCTCTCTCTCTCTCTCTCTCTCACACACACACACACACACACACACACACACACACACACACACACACACACACACACTCTCTCTCTCTCTCTCTCTCACACTCTCTCTGTCTCACACACACAAACACACACACACTCTCTCTCTCTCACACACACACACAAACACACACACACTCTCGCACACACACACATAGATATACACATAACCACCCAGGAAATGAATTGGTTTCAGATTTCATTAACATTCCGTATGAGGTCAATGTGGGAGGAAAGCCAAATTAGTTCTCTTTATGTGTCAAGATCCTTTCTAATGAGCACCGCCTTGACGCTGCTGGAATATTGCTAAGAGCGGCGTAAAACAACTCGACCAATCTTGAATATTACGAATATAGGTTTTGCGATCTTTGTTTTAGAAAATAATCCAAACTAAATAACAGCTGTGCTGTGGGCAACTACATATACCAGTCTCAGTGGTTATAATTTACATATAGCACATTAGCAGTTCCACCATTACTCCTAAACATTGAACAGCAGAAACGACGTTTGAATTGGTGTTTTGAACATTGAAATGTCATGTAGGACAATGTAATGTTCTCAGGTGAAAGTTCAGGGTGGCTATATGATATTATAAAAAAACTATTTAGGGAATCATAAAAGACAATATCAACTTAAACAGCTAAAAAATATATGTGACATGAAAGCAGAGGTGGTGAGATATTTGGACAGTATGACTTTTACGATTTTTTAACTTCCTTGATAGGCAGTATGCCTCACCACATTGAATCAGGAAAAGATTGGTTGGTTGGTTTGTTGTTTAGCGCCGCACTCAGTAATATTCCAGCTATATGACGGCGGTCTGTAAATAATCGAGTCTGGACCAGACAATCCAGTGATTAATATCATGAGCATCGATCCACGCAATTGGGATCGATGACATGCATCAACCAAGTCAGCGAGCCTGACCACCAGATCCCGTTTGTCGCCTTTTACGACAAACATAGTCACCTTTTACGGCAAGCATGGGTTGCTGAAGACCTATTCTACCCCGGAATCTTCACGGGTCATCAGGAAAAGAGGTGGACTGCCAACACATTGAATAGTTTGCTGTTTCGTAGCTTTAGGTAGCAGTGTTCATTGGACAAACCTATCTCGTGGTCCATGACTTGATAAATCTATATTTCAAAATGTTCTCATTCTCACTAATTTCTATATATGATTTATTCTTGTACAGGAGACTACAGCACAGACTTCAAGGAAAGCAAGGGGTATACCGTGACAACAACAGCAAAGTTTAGGACTGAGCAAAGTTCAGTGTCTGACTGTGCCAAGTTGTGTGTAGCAGAAACGGGCTTCTCATGTGCCAGCTTCATATTTTGCACGGATCGCACGTGCAGACTTCAAACTGAGTCTCTTTATGATGTCGACCACCTGTCAGCTATCCCGTATGATTGGTGCAGTATTTACAATCGTTAGTATAAGTGATTTGATCATGTAAAAAAAAATTAACCAATACATTAATGTTGTCCGACTCGATTGTTTACAGGCCGCCATTGTATGGCAGGACAATTGCTGGGTGCGACGTTAGGCAACAAACGCTTGCTATTTAATGAAACTGTGAGTGGCGGGTTCTATCTGTGGAGCAGGACATACTTAAGCTTTTCGAAAAAAAACTGGTGTCATCAATGATGTCAGAAATCCATTCATATCATGTTCACCACTATTGGTCCTTTTATGCCCTATCTAATCTGCTCAGGCAGATAAACGAAACCGGTTATTCATACACGTTGACGTTTTGAATATACTGACATTTTACTTTATTACAACAGATTGCAACCACGGTATAGAAATGGCATGGAGTTAGGGAGCTGTTAAATATAGCTTTGCCTGTCTACACTGAACATAGAGAAAAACGAAAATAAAAAGGGGCGGGGTTAAATTTGACGGAAACTCTTGGCAGGGGATCTCTGTGAGATAATTTGTTCTCCTGTTTGGCAAGGACAGAAACAATGTAATGGCATGTCACCTTAGATTGGGTGAGGCGGGCTGAAATGGACAAGCGTTCAATACATGCGACGCACATGCACGAGTGTGTGCGTGTGTGGTGTGCCCTCTGGCCACAGTTTAACATGGATACACCACTCAGAAACAGTATACTGTGTCCGAGTCGAACAGTCTATTCCCCCAAATGTTGAGCGACAGGCAGGATAACAACAGGCATCTTTCAATGTATTTTAGTATTAAGCGGCCGGGATGTAACCACCAACCTTGCGCCCTCTGGGCAAACCCACTATCCACTACCCCACGGAGGCGGTCGAGTTTGAAAATGAACGCGGATATTTGAATATTAACTGAAAATTTATTATGCATGACATCGAACCATCAACTGCGGCATAAGATGTTTCAAATGAAAACAATATACATACTATTGATTTCGTTTTCTCGTTTGTGACGATCAATCCTATTCGGCACAAGGGTCCATTATCGCCGATATCGCTTGTCTCAATCATGGGGTATTTTTATATCAAAATATGTTTTTGCACTTAACCCCAGGACTTCGAGTTGTCGAGGTTTCACTGCAGCAATATTAAAAGATCATGTTTACATTTTTTATTTATCGAGTCAAATTGAGTAGAAGTGAAATGTATGGTCATATTAAAATCATTTATGAAATATCCCTGTGAAGTCACATGGGATGACAGTTGTCCTATTGTTTCAGGTATGCATTACCCAGATGGAAGTCTCTACCTACCACCTGATCTCACAGAGAAAACTTGTCTTCAGAGTATGTGCATTTCTGTTTCGGACTGACGCGTGTTAATCAGACAAATAATTTATGCACAACTTCATGCATACATATACAATAATACAGTACGTATTTGTACGTTAAAACAGTATTTCGTTACATCAGTAGTTCATTATATCAAGAGTACCCTGTGCCGTTAGTTCGTAATGCATTATATCAATAGTTCAGCAATATATCAGCACTTCGTCATATAAATAGTTAGTGGTATCAATAGGCCGTTATATTATTACTTTGGTCTATCAGTAGTTCATTTATCAGTAGTTCGTTACAACAGTAGTACATAGAGGTTATCACGCGAGTGTGTTTGGGGATAGTAAATATCCTGCATTAGGAATAAACATTGTATTTAGCGAGCTTTGGCGAGCCAAATACATAGTGTTTATTCCTAATACAGGATATTTACCATCCCCGAACACACAAGCGTGATAACCTCTTTATCATATAATGTCATTCTTCAATTCTGTGCTTGAAAATCGCTTTCCCTCTCTCACAAACATTACCTAAACATTGCGAGTTTTCCTGGAATGCGCTCATTAATATTTATTACGTCACTGGGTACGTGATGTGTCAGTCGGACAGTGGCAGTAGCCAATATAGTTCCAACTGAAATCTGTTTCTTATACACAAAACAACAATTGTTTTTACTTCCTTTCGCGGCAATCCATCGATCTGTCCGCTACCTAGAGTAACTGCCCTTTGTCAAAGGGAAGCTACTCTAATCCTAGCCTATGAGACGTCACGGCCACGTTCAGACGTTGTTGACAGTCGGCCTGTTCTGTCATAACGTTAAAAAGTGCAGTCAGATGTACCCAAAACGCCAAAACGAAACAAGGTAACAATTCAAACATATTTCGGCTAAATCCAACTATTTTTATTTGTGGAAAAGGTTTCAAGCCGCGGAGGTCCACAAGCATGCCTTAGCTACGTCGCAGTTAGACACTGATTTTCAGTACATTAGACTGTTCTTTTGATAATTGTTGCAATTATCCCTGTAGTTTATCCAGATTCCCGATGGTTAATTCAGACTCGATCGCCGAATGACAAGTGCAACGCCATGTTTGTTTATAAACACTGAAAGTAGTCCATACTTGACTTTTGATATTTGCATCTCTATCCGCATATGACCCCAAAGGATATCGTTGTTATCCGCTGGCTTTATCCTGCCGAAAAACCTACCCATTATATGATAAATTGTTATATCAGGAGTAGCACAGTAACTGATATGCAATTTTCACTAACAACATCATTGTTTCAACAAGCTTCAAGCACCAGTAAAACCCAAGCAACGAAAACGGATGCATCTGCACACACAGAGCCTCAAACGCCAACAGCGACATCGACACCAACAAAGACAACGACACCAACAAAGACAACGACACCAACAAAGACAACGACGCCAACGACGCCAACAACCACGACAAGATCGACGAAACCGACGGGGAAAACTATATCTGCATCCACACAGGTACCTCGCAAGACGGAGAAACCTACTCCCTGTGCTTGTGTCTGCAACAATCCAACAACGCCAGCCGTCACACCTCCTACAGCAACGTATACAGGTAACATATCCAGATTCCCATCACATAACACTGATAATAATTAATTACAGTAAAGTATCACCTGACATGATAATAACATAACATAACATGAAAGTATCATCTCGCAATACTACAGAAATACATAGAAAAGTATGATAAATAATATTATATTACTCTCTCTTTTATATTTGGTGCTAACAAAATGAAATACCTGATGGTGGCCTCGAAGATTTTGAGTGTTCTCCCGATTCGTACTCCTCTTCTACCAATGATCTTTCCGATGATCCGGTGTATATTTTGTTTATGTCATTCTATTATCCAATCTGGGATTTACCGTTTGAGAAACCGAGGCCAATTTATCAATTTGACCAATCATTTTCACGGAATCAACTTGATTTATGACATTATTTCAGTTGCCCTTGATGCGGACTGTTCTTTGCATGACATTAACTGCTGCGTTAATTAATGCGGCTGTGCGAACGCTGGAAGAACTCCATACACTTTCCAAAGAAACTGAACCAAAACAGGGACATATACAAATTCAACAAAAAAAGGTTCCTAGTCAAACAATCTGAACAACGAAATATGTTTCCTGGATAGAACAATAACGTTGCTTGAAGTTACCTTCCTCGGGGCAATCGATGTCAAAACGTCAAACATCAATGTGGAAAAAAATTCTTGATAATTTGAGGGCAAAGTTAATGATTTGGACATAAATTAAAAGAAAGTGGGGGCAAGAAAAACAATTTCATAAAACAAAATAAGCTGTTTAAAACTATTGAAAAGCAGTTTTATGGGCAATTAAATACAAGCAATGGCATTGGTGAGGGAAGGCCAAGCATGGATTCAAGTGAAAGATTTTGCAATCACTTGTGGTCTATACCCGGCAACTGTAACCTCGAGAAACCATGGGTACAGGATTACAATAATAATGTACATAACAAAATTAAGTCACCATTGTTGTGTTTCATTACATCCGACTGCCTGAAAAAAGGTAATGAAAAGGTCCCAATCTAATAAGGCGCTATTACTTCACTATTTGAATTCTCTTATGGATAGGGAGGATGTTCAGCTTTCTCCCAAAGAAAGGTGGTTTGACTGACACGAAATATTCCGCCCTATTACTTGTCTGAAAAGACAGTACAATTATTTACAGGGTGTCTTACAGAACTTAGGTCATCATACTGCGCTTCCAATCACATAATTTATATGGAGCAGAAAAGAGCAAGAAAGGGATGTTGGGTTTTCTAAGGGGTCAATTGATGGTTCTGAAAATGATTTTTGAAGAGGCTAAAACTTACCACCGTAACCTCTCAATGTGTTCGATAGACTACAGAGAAGCATATGATTCTTTACCTCAACAATGAATTTTGAAGTCACTGGAATGTATTCCAGCCCCATCACTTCAGACAATAGATCCCACAGCCCTCGCCCGTCCCTCAATCGCGCATGTTTACCAATTGCAATCATAATGGGAGGACGTGGTTTGATGAACGTTGAGGCTTTTCATGAAAGATTTTTATTGTGCACTTTTGAACACATTTATTTGTCTGATGATCCTCTTGTGAAGCATGCCAAGACTCACGAAGAAACAACACATTCCACAGTTTTCTTAAACGAGCCAACTATGATGGACATAATCTCAATGTCAATGTTGATTTTGTTGATGGCTCTGTGCTGCTGGACGGTAGACAAATGAATGTCAACCAAGCGAAGTGTCATATCAAATCATCCCATACTCAACCCAGGCGAGGCTATCTGAATTACAACTGCATCGCGTTTTTGTCCAGTGTGTTGAGAAGAGCAGCAGCAACCCTGCAGAGTCCTTTGCTTGGACAAAGCCGCCTGGCATGAGGAGTGAAACAAAACAGAAGGCTTTCTGTTTGCTGCCCAGGACAAGTCACTTCCCACTCGAAACCGTCAATGTATGATTTTGCATCCAAATATTGATATGACATTTTGATTATTAATGAATTTTATGCGAATGTCCAAAACATTGTCAGTGGATGCCCAACTCTGGCACAAAGACATTATCTTAAGCGACATGATGGAGTGGCTCGACCCCTTTAATACCGTCTTCGCCATGCTTGTGGTTTTGACACACAGGTCAATCCATGGTACGATGTGGTGGGCGTCATGGAAAATGATCAACACAAAATTCTTTGGAATAGGCCCGTATACAGCCTAAGACTTATCCAGGGCAACAAACCTGATCTACTCCGTTTTGATAAATTCAAGGAAGTCCTCTATATCTTTGAAATCTCTGTCCCTTTTGAATTAATTGATTGATAAAATTCAGGAAAAACATTGCAAATATGCGGATCTCACTTTCGAAATGTCACGCTTGCATCCTAAGTACTAAGTTGTCCCCTTGTTCTCGGTGCCTTACGTTTGGTACCTCCCAATCTGTTGACTGGTTTTAAGGGGGTACCCGGGTTTGATGCCATGAATACAGCCCTTCTGACAATCTGGGTAATGCAGAAGGCTGCAGTGTTGGGGAGTCTTCACATTCTTCGAAACGTTAGCTGTGGGTTCGCCTAGGCAGCGCTTCCTGGGAGAAGTCCCATTCGATGTCCGGTCTGGGTGTAGAGGGGTCAAGGGCCCTGAGCTGATGATGAGCCTGACTACCCTGACTGTGCCAGTATCACCCAAACCCTCTTTGCTGCATTTATTTATTTTAATTGGTATATGATAATAATACATTGTAGTCCCATATTATCTCGCCTTAATAGAATTACGTATTATTGTAACGTATCATCTTGCATGATAATAACGTTACATTTCAGTAAACTAATATCTCGCATGATAATAATGTTATGAGTCTCTGCACAATGAACCTAAAAATGTTTCAGGAGGTCTCAAAACATCATCGTCATCGTCAGGAACACAGTGTGGAGAAACGTCACCGTCCAAACCTTCGCCAGCAACAGGTATTTTGTGGGTGTAATATAACGTTAAACAGATTCGGCGTACATATAGCTAGCTGCCTTGCAAGTTGAATACATATCAGCCTGAAGTTAATACGTGTTTATACAAGTAGTTAGGTTATGTGTGTCAGGCAAGCAATGTTAAAGCTCTTAAAGGTCTAGTAGACCTCGTAGTTAGGCAAGCAGGGGCACCGTCAGAGCCCTGGACGCGGGGCGTAGTTAGGAAAGCAGGAGCACCGTCAGAGCCCTGGACACGGGGCGTAGTTAGGCAAGCAGGGGCAAGGTCAGAGCCCTGGACGCGGGGCGTAGTTAGGAAAGCAGGAGCACCGTCAGAGCCCTGGACACGGGGCGTAGTTAGGAAAGCAGGGGCAAGGTCAGAGCCCTGGACGCGGGGCGTAGTTAGGAAAGCAGGAGCACCGTCAGAGCCCTGGACGCGGGGCGTAGTTAGGAAAGCAGGGGCAAGGTCAGAGCCCTGGACGCGGGGCGTAGTTAGGAAAGCAGGAGCACCGTCAGAGCCCTGGACGCGGGGCGTAGTTAGGCAAGATGGAACAATGATAGCGCCCAGGGGAGGGAATGTCGTTAGGCAAGCACTGTTCAGTTATAGAGCTGAGGAATCTGAAGTAGTTTGGTAAGCACTGATCAGTTCTTGAGCTCTTCAAGCTGAACGCAGATAGGCAAGCACTGATCAGTTACGGAGGTCTGGAAACGGGAGGTTGTTAGGCAAGCACTGATCAGTTACGGGGGTCTGGAAACGGGAGGTTGTTAGGCAAGCACTGATCAGTTACGGAGGTCTGGAAACGGGAGGTTGTTAGGCAAGCACTGATCAGTTACGGAGGTCTGGAAACGGGAGGTAGTTAGGCAAGCACTGATCAGTTACGGAGGTCTGGAAGCGGGAGGTTGTTAGGCAATCACTGATCAGTTATAGAGGTCTGGAAACGGGAGGTTGTTGGGCAAGCACTGATCAGTTATAGAGGTCTGGAAACGGAATGTTGTTCGGCAAGCACTGATCAGTTATACATATTCATTCATCATTAACCACTGTGTTGCTCACCACTCGATTATTTTTTATGTGTCCTACTTTCCAAGGTACAATAGTTGGAATAGCCATCGCAATGTTGATCCTGGGAGGCATCCTCGGCGGCATTATCGTCTTCTTCATTCAACGACGTCGCGAGGGCAATATGAAATACGACAAGTACATTAGCAACCCAGTGTACTCTGAATAAACTATGGTACAATAGCTTTTTGTTGGCTCATTTAATGTACTTGATTCTTTGATGACTATGTTGAGGATAGGGAAAAATAAACTGCCGTCGGAAAACTGAAAGTACACACCCATGTTTGATGGTGCCTGAATTATGTAACAAGCAAGAAATGGCTATTCGATGGTGATGTATTTGGCGCTCTTGTTGACGCAACGGTCCACGGCAAGTCATGAGTGTTGCCCTTCCGCAGATAACTTCTCCCAAATGATGAAATTGTCTTTCGATGAACATCTGCCATTTTCTTTTTGCGCCATTCGTGTTTGCAGCACACCCACGGGGCGAAGACATTGGTTTTCAGCAATCCTTGGCATTGCGTAAGCGCTAAACCAAAGGGTTAAATGAGCAACTGATAGGTAACCAATTATTGTTCACATTCAAACAACACGTGTGCGAGTATTATGTTCCCAACAAAAACGCAAATCCAAATTGTGCGCCGTGCGTTAACATACACATGCAAATTGTGAAACGAGATCTTAAAGTTGAGATGTCTTCATGAATATGTAATGCTATTGAATGATGAACTATTCAATTGCAGATTTGTTTTAGCTTTATATGAAGCACAGCTACTTTTATTTCGGTGGTATTTTTGGACCCTAAGACTGCAGTGTTTCTGCGACCGTTTTCAGTCTAGTGAGGTGAGATGAGGTGAAATGGGTTTTAATGTCGCGTCCAAGATTATTGCACTTATATAGCGACTTCAGCCTAGTAACGGTTTAATAACGTTTCTAAGTGTATGCTTTTCATTTGTCCGGCAGTTTGTATGAAGGAAATGATTCGTTCGACAAGATACCCCATTTGTCTGTGTCTAGGTACATTTAACAGGAAGTACAGTGTAACTACAACGAACCCAGAAGTAAGCTTTATCATCATCACCATCATTATCACCATCATCATAACCACCATCATCATCACCATTGTCATCATCACCATCATCATCACCTTAGTTATCACCGTCATCATCATCACCATCATTATCACCATCATCATAACCACCATCATCATCACCATCGTCATCATCACCACAATCATCATCATCACCACCGTCATCATCATCATCACCCTCATTATCACCATCATCATAACCACCATCTTCATCACCATTATCATCACCACCGTCATCATCATCATCACCATCATCATCACCATCATCATAACCATCATCATCATCACCATCGTCATCATCACCATCACCATCATCATCACCTTAGTTATCATCGTCATCATCACCACCATCATCATCACCATCATCATCACCACCGTCATCATCATCATCACCATCGGGGCGGTCGGGTAGCCTAGTAGTTAAAGCGTTCGCTCGTCACGCCGAAGACCCGGGTTCTATTCCCGACATGGGTACAATGAGTGACGCCCATTTCTGGTGTCCCCCGCCGTGATATTGCTGGAATATTACTAAAAGCGGCGTAAAACCATACTCACTCATCATCACCATCATTATCACCATCATTATCACCATCATAATCACCATCTTCATCACCTTAGTTATTTATCACCGTCATCATCACCACCAACATCATCATCATCATCATCATCATCATCATCATCATCATCATCATCACAATCATCATACTACCACTAACATCACGGTTCTGTCACGGCGTGTCATCTCAGTGTCGATGTGATACAGGTACCGATATGGTGCTGACAAACCAAGAAACGTAACCAGGGTGAACCGGGATTCGAACTCACGACCACCGGTATCTGACAGGCCCAAGTGACGCAACACTCTACAGCGAATTCCGGCGCCTCATATTCCTCAGAAACGGACATCAGGACAGATTTGTGAACAGCAAAATTAGTGGATGACCAGATTATACACAGTTGAGCTGAGACAGTTGGTTGGACCCGTTAACTGCATTATATTGCATTCAGTGATTCTCTCGACATCTCGTACATTGCATATTCCTTTGCATTAAAAGAGTACCTACGAATCTCGTGCAGTCGTTGCATTCAATGAATACCTAAGAATATCTCAAACAGTTTTACCACTGCTTTGTTAACTGAAACCACCAATGTGGTAGAAACATGCACCATGTAGATACTAGTATTCCACAGTATTTCTTCACCCGTTTGACACAGACCTTAAAAGATATGTACATTCAAAAATGGATGGTTCCTTGTCCAGTTCTATAAAAGCAAATTTCTACCTTACATTTAAGACTACTATTATATTCGAACCTTATCTATTAAGTGTAAATGTACATAAGTTTAGAAGAGCTCTTTCTCGATTTCGTTGTTGCTCGCATGATTTATTTATTGAAACAGACAGATATGTAAGTATTGCAAGAGAACATAGACTTTGTAGGATTCGTAAAACTGATTGAATTGAATATGATGAATATGAATATCACTTTTAATGTGCATGTCCAGTGTATAATGAGCAAAATATCTACAAAAACTATATCTGCCACAACCCTTATGGTAACAAATTTTGTAAATTTTGTAATTGTTCAGAAACTATGAGGAATTTATCAATGTTCATTTATCATGCTATGAAACTAAGCAAATGTATGAATTTGTAACACGCCCCAGGCAATGAATGTAGCGTAGGCCTCTGGCCTCATCAGTACCATGAATAAAGAGGGTTCGGGTTGGGTTTGCTCGGATTTAGGTTTGGGTGGGGTTGGGTTGGGATGGGTAGGGTTTGGTCGGATTTTTATTTATTTTGTTTAATATGAAGCAATTCACCTTCACAACAAACATTTGAAACTTAACTACAAGGAAAAAAGCAACAATTAATATTTTAGAAACATTTTGTCTAATCAGTAACATTAAAGTATCCCTACTGTTACACTGTCATAAAATTAAGAATTTAAGAAACTTTTAACTACGAGAAAAAAGACTCATCATTTAACTATAACACTATCACATTTGTACACAATGTGTTATCCGTCCTGGCCTCACAGTTCTGTAACAGTAGAGACAAATTGAGATGATGTCAGGTGTTCACGAAGAGATGTGCGTATCCTGCCCCAAACAAGATGGTGTATTCGAAAGCACATGCCGTCATTCTATCACATATATATCAATATACATAATATCTAACCCTAAAACTAGCAAGTTATACAACAACAAATAATCAGACTACATAATATATGTAGTAGCGGGCAAGGCTCCGGTTAGTGCAGTAAACACAGAACAGGCTACTGGGGTGTGAGTTGACAGCTGATTTTATTTGCGCACACGCTAGTTGTTTCTGAACTCTGTACTCTAAAAATACAATGAAAATATCTAATAAATGAAATAAAACATATCATAGTATCAACACACCAATGTATAACCTGCTCATCCAGTTTAATATGCTATGCATACTATAAACATTTACACGTGATATTTTACATTAATGTATCAAACATGCTGAGCAGTAATTACACTTACCCTTGTGGTTTTAAGCCAAATTACATATAGAAATACTTAAGACGGTTACACAAATACCGCCTCTACAGATTGCCATGATATAAACATAATATAAACACAATATACACAAAATGTACACATAACTTACCACTGTGTGGCAATGAGCTGGCAACTATGTCAGCGTTGGCAGATCACAGGCATCAATTGCCATATTCTAGAACAAATTTAAACAATAAGGCCGCATAAGAAAAAGGAAATGGCCAATAAAATTAAGAACATGTAAAATGACCTTTTCATATGTATCCATTCAATCATAATCTACACACATACATACTGCATTCACACATGTAGTTAGATGGTATTTCAGTAGTGATTAATAGTTAAATTAGATTATAGATTTAGTTTAGATTTAACTGAAGTGTTTAACAAATTAAGAAGGAAAGTATGGAATATCTGAAGATATCGAGATAACATGTATACTTATGATGAAGTACTAGTTTATGTTTTTAAACTATTTTCAGTTTGACATATATAGATATATTATAAAATATATATAATTACCAATCAATGCATTACCTTAATGCATCTAATTCATAAAACTAAATACACAGACATATCTACAAGATACATAAATATGAACCAAACACAAACTAACCTTATAGAGATCCTGAACACAACAAATATATCGTCCACTGATTTGAAATCCAGTCCAAAGAACCACTGATATCCTTCAAGTGTAAGTGACCAACTAATTTAGCAAAGTCAGCAAAAAACAGAAGAAACCTTTTACTTACATAACACAGAAGCTGGGAAGGAAAACAAAGCAAGACGCTTGTGCTGTTGGTGACTGTATAGGTGAAAGTGGCTATTGTTATGTTAGTAGTTATGTAAGTACTGGAGCTAGTCTAATTGTTGTTGTTTTCATACTGCTCAAGTAATCTAGCTTGAGACAGAAACAGGCTAAAACAGAAACGAGACAATTAAAAGACTTTACTAAAATATTTACAAAATAGCAATAAAATCAACTCGGCCACATACTACCCCCTCCCAAATAATGACGTCCTCGTCATTTAATACTACCATCAACAATCGAAATAAATGCACGAGATAAATGTTCCAAAACGCCACTGGAAGCAAGTTCCTGGATAGTCCGAGATCTCCTCTCCCTGTCTTGGTCTGGGATCTGGTGACTCATCAGGTATTCCCCTGATGTCATCCAAGAGTGCTTCCGAGTTGATCGATTGGAACGTCTGGCTGCTGTCGGTGGGGTAGGGTGGGCTATAGTGGCTTCTGCAAGTGGCGCAGCAGCTTCATCAGTAGCTTCTAACAATTCCACTGCAGTTAGCTCCTGGTTGTCCTCTATTCTGAGTGCCGTTAAGGTATCAGATTGGTCCTGTTCAGTTTCATGTCCGAATTCTTCATATGGGTTTTCTTCTGTGTCATGTTGTTCTTCCGACAACTCTGACGAGTGGTCGTCACCACTAAAAGAAGGTCCCACTGCCACAAGAATTCCTTGATCATCACCAGTTTCTTCTTGGGCAGAATCTTCCATCCTGTCAGCAGCTTCACTGTTCATGGCTGTTGAGT